TGATGATGACATAATTAATGTCGAAATATTGAATCCCGGCACAATGACGTGCATTTCGATACTTGGAGTATGTATTATACTATCTTATCTGAGATTAATCAGTGGACCTTTCGGTTTTTGGAAAATACCTTAGAATATTGCAAACATCTTTTGAGTAAATTTTCAGATGTATGAATTATAAGGTCAGATAAAACCTCTTTATTTTCCTATTCCAAGGGATACCTCCTATTTTAAAATTAAGTTTTTTATGATAATATTGTATACAAATTTTATATTAGCATGGTAACGAATTTGACGTAAGAAAGTTCTCTCAGAAGGCCAACATTAAAGATTGCTGTGGTTGGGGGGGGGGGGGTATGTGCATCAAAGAACAGAATAAGGTGGGGAGATGCATCTATATATTACATTTTGTTTGATGAACATTCTCATACAAATTATGAACACACACCTAAAACTTCCTTATGCCAAATTGTAATCTGTTACTCAATGCAAGTGTATACAACATCCATCAAAATGTAATACAGTATTCTAAAGTATCTATAACGTATATTTTATTGGTGGTATAGGTGACCAAAGCAATGACTACACATAATAATACTACTCTTGACTAGCTATATACACAGTATTTTAAGATGAATAAAATTAAATGTTGCTTATACGGTTTACTATTTTTTTGTTGCTTTTTTATTTAAAAAGTACCTATTTGAAGTTACTAGTCTATCAACTATTGTTAAATTGTTTGTAAATACTTGTTCAGATTTATGTGCCAGGCACATTCGTTTTTGTACACACAGAATAAGCTGTATATAAGAATCGTTGATAATATTATGTAATATGATATTGACGTTGTACACAAAAATAAATGGAGTACTCTAAGGTATTATGAATATAAAAGGTTCACATCTATTAGATTTTGTTAATTTTTGGCAGGGATTGTGAAAATGGAAAAGGTGACTTGAAGATTATTATATTAAGGAATATATTGATACAAATGTTAGTGGGTTTTGTGGGGCATACTTTTTGTTATTGTTATACTCGGTATAGGAATATTCAACCAAAAATATAATCTCAATGGGTAAAAGTTATGCCATTCAAATGATAATCCGCTCTGATTGGTCCAACAATGACATGTGATATGACCAAGTATTTAAATATGAAACTAACCTGTCATTCCATTCAAATTATAAACAAATATGATTGGTCCAATGGTTAAGCTACATTTACACTAGACACAATTACGACACGAAAAACGACACGATACAGAATGCGCACAGTGTTGAAGAATACAAAATATGCCATGAAGTGTCGTTGTCATGTCTTTATCGTATCTAGTGTAAATCTTGCTTCACATGTGATAAGACCAGGTTTTAGATGTGTTATTTGCTTTTTACAAAAATATGTTAGAAGTATTTCGAAATCATTTTTGTATATGATATGAATTTTATCTATGGTAATTTTAAAAAACATGGCAATTATGGTTGAATCTTCTGCTTTATACCACTCTTCTTTTTATCAGTAATTTAGTGTTGACTGTAACCGACATATTATACAGTATGCATTCCGCAGTTACTTAATTAATGTGATGCTAAAAAATAAGCTTTAAAAAATAGAGATTGGATTAAATAAATGCCAACAATTCTAAACTTATTTTGTCTAACAAACAGGAATGCTTCCATTATAAGCTATGTAACAATTACATAAGAAAATTTGTGATTAGCATATTTCACTGCGATTCAGTTTTAAGTTTAGGACTGCATGAAAATAACTTCTTTATGCCAAAAGAAGAAAAGGTTTTTTCACCATAACTCTGTGACTGTTATTTGGCCAGAATTTAGTATCTGAGGCGCTGTTAAAAAAGTGTCAGAGCTATAAAGATTGCAATTTTATATATTGATAGTATTTATCCGTGCCAACCACATTATTTAATGCTAAACCGATTTATGTTGTATAGAACATCTTAATTATGCTTTTTTCGTATTAAAACTTATTTTAGATCTTTAACAGAAAAGACTTTTTAAATAATTTCTGTTTGAATTAATAATTGTTTTACACTACTATTTATTTTTCTTTGGTTAGTATTAATGACAACAATGTTGTCATCATTTGTAAAAGGTATTGTAAATACAATTTGGTTTTAAGAAAGTCTCATCACTAATAGGTTTTGCACTATATTTTCACTGCTTTGTGAAACCTCAGTGGCTGCCTGCTATTAAATTGTTGCAAGGCAGTACTGTACTATGGTTTTCACTACCTAAAATTGTTACTGTATTGTTTGATTGACCACATGATTGCAAAATTGCACCACTGTTTTAAGCACATCAACCTTAGATGATTTAATTGATTAAAAAATCTTTCTTCATAAAAAAAAAAAAAAAAAAAAATCACTGGAGCATAAAAAAAACTAATCATCGTAACTCTCTTTCGGTTCAATTGAAATACAAAATAATGTTTGCAAAATTATTGCTGGTAAATACAACCAGTACTGATATGTTTTGAATGGGAATGAGTATTGAGCTTGGCATCCACTGCTTCGTATGACGGTCGTAGCCGTCGCACAACGAATCCACCTCTGCTTCCGGAGAGCAATACACAATTTAACGCTGTCTGCTGATTGTCAGTGGTAGTCTGAATGGATCCTCATTAAAAAAGCGATTTGTTGGTTCCGCGCCGTCGCATGCGTTCGTCGTTGCGTTCCGTGATTACCCAGCTTTAGGATTTGTCTTCAGAAACATACCTAAATAGAGCAACATTAATTGTTATGCAGTTTGTCCTTGTAGACTAAATGCATTTTAACATTTTTGACTCGTAATTAAAGTATTTCACAGGACCAATCTTTATACAAAATGGAAAATCATGAGTGTGGCTATCCTATTATATACTGTATTCCTGCAGTTCAGTGTCAGGGTGTGTAAAATACAGGATTAAATATGAGTGTTCACCCCTGGGTTGCCCAATTTGTGACCTATAGCTTAAAATCTATAGATAGTTGGTGCGAGTGACAAATATATTGATTCAAAATTAACAAATTTAAATTATTATTATGACCAAAAAATACAAACAGAAAAAGTATCATTTGATTCCTTTTATTATTTTGTGTCAAAAGAAAAGTTGTATCTATCAGTTTTTTTTTTGTATTTATCAACTTTCTTTTAATACTACTGAAGGAGGTTAGTATTCAGTTTCTGTTTTCTAAATGTCTGCTAATTTCTTTATTTGTACAAAAAAAAACATAACTGGTACAACAACATCATGTGCCACGAATGTAAAGCGTTAAGCACCCACCCAGATGGCCAGTATTTACTGACCACGTTGCTTATGTTCTTGGGCTGGACACTAGGGAGCTTTCGATTTGTGCGGCGATGATAGAAAGGATTCACTCATATGTGACCGTCTGTCCGACGTCCTCTGCACAATGTATATTTGGCTATGTTGTGTCCTAGAGTCCACGCAACCGCAAGAACTCAATGTTCTCGCGCGCACAGATGACTTTGTGACGTCAAAAACTAATTCCTCCATGATCCTACTTTCGTCATGCAATCAAAAGCTTCCTACTATCTGTTTTCCCTTTGGAAGCATAACAGTACTGGGGCAGTTATGAATGATTTGGGATGAATTTGTTAGGTCTAGGTAATAGCAGGGGCAGATCAGAATTTTTCAAATGGAAAAGGGGTGGGGGTGGGAGGAAACAGTTTCAGAATAAATAAGTGAGTAGCACATAACATTGAAATGCATTGTAATTTTTCAAAATTTAGTGGCAAAACACAGGTTCCGCCCCTGACCAAAGCAGGTTTAACATTGTTTATAACTGATTCTGTATCCAATTACAAGTGACTTAAGCACTTATTATTTATATTATTATTATGCTCTACACAAGTCAACTAACATTAGTTAGTACAGACTTAAGATTGAAGACAGTAAAGGTGAGGCCGTCAATCTGCTCTGGAAGGGCCATGCTAGAATTTCATGAATATTTTGGCTTGTTTAGTTTAGCAGGACCATGTAAGATGTTGCATTAATGTGTTCCATTTTATTTAATATTGCATTAATTTAATGTTTCATCCACTTATGGCAAAGTTGCGAAGTGGTAAATTAATTTTAAAGAGAGAATATTAATTAACAATAAATTTATTGATAAAAATAAACCTCAAATTTTGCCACTTTGCCATGAAAGGGTGCTTTAATGTAAATGTGTCTACTAATTTGTAAACAAAACTTTGCAGTACGATATTTCATATTCTTTATTTATATTAAACGTTTATTAGGCATACATGAAATGTAATATTCAAATTTGTATTTTATAAAAATAATAGTACAGTAATAAATTTCTGCTAATTATAGTGCATAATCCCCAAAGCCTCTATGCTGTTCACGTTTTATAATAATAAAGGCTTAAGAATAATACAGTATATTAGAATTTATTTGTAAAGTGCTCAGAAAGAAAAGGGAGTAAGAAACAATAAATGCAAAAGATTTGATAAATGAACTCAAGTGCACTGCCTATGTATTTTGGAAGAGTCTTAATGGATGGGGGCTTGCATTTGATGGTAAATTGTATATTGATTTTTATTGATATTATGATTACAATGAATAATTTCAGTAATGTAATGGTTTAATTAACATCAGTATATTCACCTCCCAGTTTATACCAATGGTATGTACGTTGATGTGGGTAAATTGAGTTGATGACCTTAAGCTGATGTGATACGAGACTACAGACACGGGAATGCTAGATGGCCGTATGCTGCTTGGTCTGTGTCTGTCCCAAGTGTACAGTGCAATGACAACCTATATTTATATGCAGTTTTCAATTGATTGTCTTTTTACATCAATCGCTGATGCTGGGAGAACATTTAATTAGTATACAAATTATGAATATTCAACAGCTAAAAATAATTATGTTGAATTGGATATGAATATTCAACAGAATGTATTAAATATTCATTACGATGTGTTGAATATTTATTTTCTACTTGCACTACAGTATCTTGAAAATAAATATTCATCAGGGTGTATTGAATAATTATCAAATTAGATCACTTGAATATGAATATTCAACTAGAGGATATGAATATTCAACAGAATGTATTAAATATTCTTTATGATGTATTGAATATTTATTTTCTACTTACATCACAGTATTTTGAAAATGAATATTCAACAATGTGTATTAAATTATTAAATTGCGATAGCTTGAATATGAATATTCAACAAGAGGTTTTGAATATTCATTTTCTAAATTTATGATGATTATTTAGAATATGAAGAATTCACGAATGTCAATATTCAAATAAAAGTAAAACACATATTATGCGTAGTAACTAGTGTCTTATTATTCTGCTTGATCTTTAGTTGTTGATTGATGATGGATGTATACATGCCGGTTTTCCACCAGGTGAATTTATTCGTGCGAATTGAAAGCGTCGGTTCATGCGCATGCGTATTCACATCCCTATCGGAGTTCTTGCGAAGTGAAAAAAATATGCAACCAATCAGAGCTCAGGAAGCGAACCGATGCTTTGATTCGCGCAAATAAATTTCGTCTAGTGGAAAACCAGCTTAACCGCTCGAATAAGTGCCGCAACGCTTATAAATTTTTTGGTGGCATCAGTGCGGCGCTTATTCGAGAGTGGCGCTTATTAAAAAGTATTGGCGTGGCGCTTTCATTGCCCGGTTCCATGTTACCTATTTCACGTTTTCCCGTAGTTCAGTAGACCTATCATAGGTCCTATCATTGTAAACAAACAACATAAGAAATGCTTGTGTCTTCATTGCATTGTATATTTCTATAAAACAAATCATCACCCATGTTCTGACTGAAGATGCATTTATACATTTAAAATAACAAGCACATAATAAACTTCAATATTAAAAAAACTATCAATATTCAAATAGATTTATTTCATAGGTATATCATTTCTATAATTGATGATAGTGGTAAAGAATTAGGCTTCAAATGTCCTTTGTATACTAAGTATCCATCCACCAGTCTTGCCTTGAAACAAATATTAATTATTCTTTTTGAAAATAATTATTTTCTACCGCGAAAGCCGGGACCTTATGAGTTGTAAGGTTAAGAAGTATTGCATATTTTTATATAAGGTACTTCAAAACAGTACAACAAAATGTAATTGAAATTTATATAATAATGATAATACATGCCTTACATTAGAGAATGCTATTAACATGTTGCTCTGTTTTTTTCCTAATGAACTCTTTATTTCTGTTTGTATTGTCCATACCGATTTTAAAATGATAAATCGATTAGCTTTATTTACATATTCAATTGTATAGATATAAATTCAAGGGTTTCCTTCTACAATCAACATGCCTGCTAATTTTTTTTGTCATACCTATCATTGAAATCCTAAGCTATTGTCTGTTTCAGTAGTCATTTATGATTTGAATTGATAAACATACTTTTCTCTCCGTACTTTTTATTTGATGATAAAGATCGGCTTAATGGACCCTCCGGAGTGTCAATCAAACGTATAACTGACCAGTGATGATAAATCTCATTTGAGTTATTGAAGATTAAAATAGACTAGAGTATTAATATACAGTAGCCTAATCATAGAGAAAATAGAACATTCTCTATATGCATGGTCTAATCAACATCAAAAACTTTGCAAGTCGTAGAGGGCGTATAATGAGAAGCGATAGAACTTTAAACACACATGTCCGACTCTAGCGTTGTCAAAACGTTTGTAAAAACAATTAGTGAGCCGAAAAAGCGGTGATGAATTATAGAATACTTAAAAAAGAAGACCATTAAGTGTAGCAACGTAAGTATGTGTCATATATATTATTCGTTTATAACGTATGCTTCCTACGTAAGCCTAGGCCTAGAAGGTCAGTAAATAGATTTTCTGTAGGACAAGGGCAAGCGGGCCTTGCTTAGGCCTAGGGCCTAGCCAGGAGCCGCTTGGCCTGAGCCTACTGCTTCTTTCTCTATGATGTAAGCCTAGGTGCTAGGCCTAGACAATGTCGTTGATGTGAGGCCAGCGTTTTCAGGCATTGGTTGACTCGTGTGGACTAGCCTAGCCTATGGTCTACCCTGCCTAGGCCTATAACTAGTCCTTTTCGGTGCATGACATCCAGCCGTGGCTCCTGAAATTTTCCGACAAGAGGTCCAACATGTCAAACGGTGAGGGTTCCGAACCAAGGGGCCGACTACTAGTACTAGTACCATACTGTAAAGTTGATTAATTGCACTGATGAGGATGACTTGGGCCCAGGACGATCAAAGGAAAATCTCTGTTGGTAGGGTTCCACAGGGAGAGATTTTGAACAACCAAAAGAGTACATAATAAAATAATTATAGAAATTTGGAAGTCCTTGATCTTCTTTTTTTTTTGTAAAGAGGATGGCGTTGAACAAGTTCATGCACCCAAGAAACAAGTACTTTGACAATCCACCAGACTTTTCTAAGCTGTCCGAAAAATACCCAGAATTCAAAAACCACACGTCAACCTCTTCATCTGGCAAGGTCAGCATTGACTTCAAGGATCCCGAGGCACTGAGGTCGTTGACCTGTACTCTGTTGAAAGAAGACTTCGGACTGGATGTGCATCTACCAATTGACAGGATAATTCCAACAGTGCCTTTGAGATTGAATTATATTCTGTGGATTGAAGATTTGTTGGCCAAGAGCAAGGTTTCAACAGATGAAGAGGTTACTGGCATTGACATTGGTACGAATCTTCAAATTTAACTCCAATACATATTTTGTGTACTAGACATATGTTAATTATTAACAAATACTGTGCATCTATCAAGAAATTACATACTGTCGTACTCTGTACACCAATTTTCAATTTATGCCCGATTTATGGATTTTCATGTTTGTGCTGGTTCCGCTCTGCCTACCATGGCAATGTTGTATATTTTTATAATTGTAAAGGTAGAGAAATTTAATAAAGAAAGAAAAATGATTGAAAAAGAGAATTAGGATTTTAATCTGAGAGTAAACTTGGTGGTTAAGATGCTTGCCTTCCAATCCCAGGGTTCTGGGTTCAAATTCTGTGACAACACAGGATTTTGTCTCCCAAATTTACAGCATCTCTACTCCCTCAGCCTTGTAATGACAATTTGTTTTTAAAGTATCACATTATTTAAGAGGGTCCCTGACTATCAGCCGACCTTGAAGATTAAACAGGAAAGGTCACGAAAGACTGTTGGCGATTGTGTGCAGCAATCTTATGGAAAATCTGCTTAACTGATAGAATCCTAACCATGACAATTTTGAGTTTTTTTTTGTACTTAGGTAGTGGGGCCTCATGTATTTATCCGCTTCTTGGATTTAAGACGAACGGCTGGAAATTTGTTGCATCTGAAGTCGATGCGCTGTCTCTCCATTTTGCAAAGGAAAATGTACAAGCAAATAATGCTGAAGATCATATAAAAGGTAATTAAATTTATTATTGGGTATTTATTAGCTAAAATTAATTAGAACTGTTTACAAAACTTATGCCTATAGTTTGTATGTATGTAGTGTTGCTGTCCTCTACTGTGCCATTCTTCAACTTTATCCATTTACTGATGCTTGCTTGTCCAGCTAATTCTTCCTTGCCTTCAGTGTAGGCCTCCCTCAATTTTGTTGGTAGTTTTGCTTTCTTTGTCTTCCTGATTTTATTCCCATAATACAAAACACTTTTATTTCTGGTTTGCTTATACAGTAGTAGAAATGTTTTGAAATGCTAGTGTTGTATAAAACCAGATAAGGCAAAATTGACAATGTTAACAGTATGTATATGATTTTCATATGTGCATTCACATTTCTAATGTAAAAAATCTAATATTAAAATATTCATATTTCAACTATTAATCTAATATTAATGTTCTTTTCTATTTTAGTGTATGAAGCAGCTGAAAATACAATGCTATTAGAAATTGTGGCCGATAATCCTCGAACGTCATACCATTTCACGATGTGCAACCCTCCATTCTTTGGCAACATGTTAGAAGCTCAGGGTATAATGTCAAGAACCATGGAAAGAGCAGAGCCCAAGTCAGTGTGTACTGCATCTGAGATTGAATGCATAGCTGATGGTGGCGAAGTGGAGTTTGTTAAAAGGATGATTCAAGATAGTTTGAAACTCAGGCAAAAAATATTGTGAGTACTTTGATTCTTAAATGTGTCATTATTTAAATATATTATTATAATTATTGTTATTGTTTTATTGTTATAAATTAAGAATATTTTGTGAATTTTGTAGATGGTTCACTTCAATGGTTGGCAAGAAAACAAGTCTTCCTCTGTTAAAACAGGAGCTTCACAAACATAAGGTATTTTACAGAATTTAATCATAATAATTTAAGCAAAGAAAATATAGGCAAGTCGAGTGGCCGAGTGGTAAAGCAGGGGCGCTGCTAACTACAGGGATAACTTCGGTGTTAGTTCCAGCAGCTCCTCGCCCAGGGTTTGGTTGGTAGGACTAAGTCTTCTCGGATAAGGACTTACAGGGTTACCCCGATGCTATGGTTCATTTTAGCCCCTGTTGCTGTGGAATATTTTGAACATGTAGCTACTATAAGCACTTCTTTACGGCTGCTAGGTAGACTCGGACCACGCCCATACGCAATTCAGCAAAATGACGCTGTGAGTTGTGGGTTATTCTCCTGCCCTACCTTTTACGTAGGCTACAACAACAATCAAACTGCTCAGCAGTTATAAGTTAACCCGGCAGTTTCTGCCTTTAGACTTATGCCCAGCATTAATTTGGCATTACTAAATGCTGTCCACACCAGGGTTCATCAGGATGGCTTTCCTATATACTAAATTCCTGCCAGTTTTTTATGACTTCCTTAATGTCCAGCATTGTTTGGTTTCATTAACATATATTTTTTAACTAATGTACTGTATAGCATATTGCTGTAGTTGTAATTTGCCTCTATTTTGGCCTGTGTAGATCAGATTCATTGTCACTACCATCATGACGGCCAAAATAAAATGCCTTTCTTTTTTTTTCAGAAGTGTGGATGAGAAACTACATTTTTTTTTTACTTGGCCAAATCTTTAATTAACATATATTTGCTTGTAGATATCACATTTCACGACAACTGAATTTTGTCAAGGGCGAACAATGAGATGGGGTATTGCTTGGACCTTCCATGAAGAAGTGGACATACTGGTAAGAATTAAGAATTTCTTCAAAAGCCTTAATCATTTTAATGTCAAAGGTCAGATGCTGACAATATCGTCTTTACTGTTAATTTGTTTGTACATCTGTTGTCCTAGACCGGTGGCTGGCTATGTTTAAACTTTAATATCAAAAAGTGTTCCTATATTCTTGATTTTTAGCCCCCTGCCAAACGCTTCAAACCATCAAAGGAGAAGCCTCCATTAACAATACCTGTTCCACCAAAGTACATTGAAAAGGTACTCAGCACCCACCCAAAGGCCAAAGGTCAACTGAACATGGTCAAGTTTTTAACCAAAGAGATCAAGAAATGTTTAAGAAATCTTGAGGTATGAATGGAAGCAATCCACTTTTAAAAACATCTTATAAAGTTTTGCATGTGCAATTTTTGTGACTTAATTATATACAAAAATATTGTATCAATAACTTTGTTGAGAGCTAATAATTTATAATAAGTACTAGTAACTTCAATTATCAGGAAAAAAAAAATACTGCTCCTAGATACATTAACTGTTAACAAAGATCTTATAACAAGATAGCACTGTGCGGGTTTGCGTGCAACATACTCCAAGTGCCATTCACGCAGAAAGCAATAGAAATTAATTGTAATTGAGAAGGCATCCTAGTTGTTACCATGGTGGTTGTTCCAGAATTTGCTCGTAGATCATAGATGTAAAAGCTCAAAAGCAATTGTAATCACAAGAGGTGCCCTACACTGTGTTATTATAGAATTTGCACACAGAAGATGCTATCTTATTATTATAAGAGCTTTGCTGTTATTAAATGCAGTATTAGATATGTATGTTATCGTATTAATGTTAATTGGTCATCATTTCTTGCCATGAAACATTAGAATCTTGTTTTGTCTGGTTGGATGCCTTCCAGCTTTGATGACACAGTCTGGGACTGGGCAAGGCACATTACCCATGTTGTCTTTCTCGAACCCAGATTAGGTACTTGATAGGTTAGAATGCTAATGCAGATTAACCTGAGAGTATTGTAACTTCCATGATGATCTGGGTTGCCAGAATAGTTGACAGTAAATTGTAGTTACAGACACTGTCACGAAGCGCAATTTTCACCTTGCACATTAATGTATAAACTAAATTCCTTCTATCATTTTGCTTTTAGATAACGTTTATCAAAAGCCAAAATGCAGCAGCATTGACTCGGTACGAACTAACAGCAACCAAGAACACATGGTCCAAACAAAGACAGAAACGAAGACAACAACAAAGACTAAAGAATGACAAAAACACGGAAATAGCAGAGCATAGTGATCAAAAGGCAGACACTACAATTAATGACACTAGTAACAATGATGAGGATAAAATGGAATTCCTTTTCAAGTGTTTTCTTGGAATCAAAATGGTGGATGGAAATTTTGTCATGGAAATTAACTGGATCGAAGGCAAAAGTAGAGAGTTGATGCATCAGCTTGGCCAATTTTTTAGAAACTTTTTTCAAAGAGAGATTTCACTTTATATTCAGCCAAAGCTTCTCTGAAGAGCAATTTTTTTTAAAGGATAAATGCAATTATTTTACATTTAAAAGAAACTGTGTTTAAAAGGTTTTAATATATTGTTTAAGAACCAATTTAATAAACCACCTGTAAACATACACATTTAGGAAAAATGTTTTGTTTTGTAGTGTATTTCCGATCCAAGAAATGGTGATTTCATTCTAGGAGACAGCATATTTTAATGTGTGGATGGGGGGTGGTTCATTCAATGACTGTTGAACGTATCAGATTCATTATGATGATGATTCTTAATTTATCATTGGAGAACCAGCAGCCGAGTTCCAGGGTACTAAAAAATGGTTAGTGAGTGGAGTGAATTGGCGGTTCAGATGCAGGGTTTTATCTCATGACCAAAAGCTTTCCTATACTGTAATTGATGGTGCTGTCTTTAAATGAGTAATTAATAATATGTAGATGAAATTATAACCTAGTTATAGTTAAAGTATGATCATTTTAAAGTTAATGTCCGAAAATATATACTGTATCGCCTCTATATAGGTATAGTTAAGAAATAACCCATAACTCGCAGTATCGTGCTGAATTGCGCATGGGCATGGTGCATAACAACATAGCCACTGTAATTTGAGTAAGTGGTTTGGCGCAGTTAGAACGGTTTGTTTTCCCAAACTTGAGGTTGAGGTTTCAATCCCCTTGCTGGGCAAGGCACTTTATCTGCATTGCTGCTAACCACCCAGGAGCATAAATGGGTACCTGGTAGGGTTAAATGCCGAAATGCACGATGATGTAGCTGCTGCAACGTTAAGAAATACTCCCCAAGGGAGCTTGGATTGTGTTCCATAGGCGTTTAATCCAATTGGGGGGGGGGGGGTTTAATAATGTGAAGCGCTATATAAGTCTTAACATGTTATTAATAGTAATCATTCCACAATAGCCTGAAATGAATCATAGCATCAGGGTAACTCCCTACTCTTTCAAAATATGCAATGGGTTCTATTAGTAATTCTGAATGAATTATCACCAAAATCCAATTTTATTAAATCATATGACAATATTTTGTTGAATATATCAAATTGACCTGGCATACAACAGAACTCTCAAAAGATGACAAGTAGGAGGCAAGATTTTTATTTTTATATTGTTTATTACCGATTCAAGCCTTGACAATCACTTATGTAATATTATGTTGTAATGATATTTTTCTAAAATAATAAATGAAAACAAATTCATACAAAAGATTACCTCTGTGTAATAGTTTGTGTTGTCCAAGCCCGACTAAAAAAAACGAGCTTTTATTGAAAAATGTCATACCTTAACCAATCATTGATTGCCATTTTACTAACCAAACTGTATTGTGTGGATAATGAGCCATAATAATAAATATGATTTATATAGCACACATACCCACATTTTGAAAATGGAAAAAAAAATCTTTAATTGCTCCAATTAATTTATTTTTACAAATCTATTTACGAAGATATTGTATTGTACTGTGCCATCTTGTCTTGACATATAAAAAATAATGAAGAATATTCCATGAGAAATCGATTCTTAATTATAAAAAAAAGGCAGTCTACATCTTGGTACCAAATTTGCTTAGACCTGTGTGGTAGCTAGTTTGAAATTATAATTATCTTAGGTAGTTCAGGAGAAGTAAATTTGTGATGCTGAATAATTTCAGTTATTTGTCATGACTTAAAGTAATAATATAATTCAGGATTTTCCAGATGAATTTGCAGTTCATGGGTAGCCATAAGTTAGTTCAACAGACTCTGGTGAGGACGCCATCATATATAGCCGCATATTCTCAATAGCGTTGATTACGTCGCCGACCTGCAAGTGGAATGATAAAGAAAATTACTCCTTTGAGCAGATACATGTTTGCATTGCAGCAATCTATTTCAATTTTATGCATATCTGTTTAGGTTTTTGTCCTGGCTCCCAGCAAGATTGTACTTTTACTTTGCTAAATAAATATTATTATGGTATTATCCGCCAGGCTGTTGGTTAGCTCCCTCACAGTGAAGGGGAGCACACTGAAAATGTAGAAGACTGGTTCAATTAACCACTGCAGTACTAGAAATTGCTGCATGTATGTATGAATTTTTATATACACTTTTACCGATATGTACATAAACCTGTATATTATGTAATATGAAATAATTTTTAATGTGATTAGCTGATATCCGGAGAGCTCCATGACAGTGAACTTGTTTACTTTTGAGCAATCCTGTTGGGTTATCAGCTGAGGTTTTGTTGGCATACTTGTCATGATTTTTACGTTTACGTTCTTTGTATTATTTTATGTGAATGACGATATAAATGATATGACATGTAATACCTTGATAGTTAGAGGATCTGTTGCCGTATGTACGGTTTCCTCCTTGGTAATTGCGGTTTGGATAATTCTTATTCCCATATTGTTTTCCACGACCTTGCTGTCGGCCATCACGATCATCGTTACCCCGGCTTCGTCCATCAACGCCACCATGTTCCATCAGACGCTCGTTGTTGTCGACCAGGTTGTTGGCTTTCTCAGCAAGCTGCAGTGCTAACGTTTGTATGCGAGTTGGTTCGCATCTGTGCATCACAATCGTTGCAGCAGGTTCGTCCCATGAAGCCTGAAATGGAAGAATTAGTTGTTACTGTTTTCAAAGGGAAGTGAAGGGGACACAAACAAAGTAGAAATATTTCCTTGTACATAATAAATCACAACTAACACCTAGCATTTATTTTTAGATTATCATGTGCATTCCTGAGGTGTTGCTCAAGTGCATGCAGTTATGGTCCTGAGAGCGCCACCAATATCATAACACATACTGCAAGACGAGTAATCCCGTCATGGCAGCGAATGTGTTAAAATGAACTATACAAGCACCAGTGTGCAACATGCTGTCTACATATGGGTTGATAAAAATTATACATACGCTCAATTCCTCGCCGATGATCATCTTACTGATAATGCTGTGCACAACAGCTTTATCGATTTCAAATCGCTCAGAGAGTGTCACCATGCTGAGGAAAGAATTTACACATTTGCAATTAGTACAGCTAGTTAATGAAATTTACGCACAGATCTTTATTTCTGTAAATGTATTACAGGATAAGGAAGCAGTAAATTGATACTAGATTTGGAGGTGTATACAACTCAAAGTACTACTTTCCAAATCAGACAGTGTATTTGAATTGAAGATAAACCTTTGTAGTTCAGATGTTTTCCACTGATATATTATAATAAAAGATCCAGAACCCACCACTAAGCCTAATTGTGAGCTAATTAACAGGTTCTCCAGTATAAATAATAAATAAAATAATAATGATAAATTTTACCTGATGGAATCATAGACACTTCCATATGTGAATAAGTATGTTCTCAAACTCTCCTCCTGGATTTTCCTAAAAAAAGTAAACACAAGTTTTAATGTTGAACAAAAGCATATGGCAGAGAGTCTAAGGCTGGTTACTTGGGTTGTGTCCTTGGTAGGTGCGTGTTATGGTGAGTAAGGCCTTATAGCATATAGACACTGCCTGAGCCATAGAATTTATCACAACAAAAAAATGCCAGTGACTGACTGATTCATTGATTGAACATTAGTTCATACTTTGAGCCTGTTTGTGATCAAACAAGAATAAAACAAAAAACCAAAAGATATTATTACCTTGTAAGAAGCTCCAGTACTCCATCTCTGTTGTGGAACAGGCTCCAAACCTTAGTCATCATCTTTTTATTAATCAAGAAATCGCGGCAGGCCTTCCAGTCTCCAAGCCGCATTGCTCGCGAAGCGGCCATCACATGCTCACGCATACTCTCCGGTGGACCAACGAGTGGTTGTCGCTCGCTCAATCGGAGCTGGTGGTGGAAACTTTTACTAATCATTCTTCGGCGAATATCAAATTGATGAGCTAAGAGAACAAAAAGTGAATATGGTTGAAGAAAATTGGTACACATTTTGTTATGTTTGTATTTTGAAATCTATACTAATATTCATATCTATTGCTTATCTTTATGTGTAATTCATGCAGGGCACTTACAAGCCATGTAAGGAATTTCAATAAGCATAGCTGACACCAGGTAAGTACACTCTAGTAACTCTAAGTTGATATGCATGTGGAACGGCATCTGACGACGCTTCTCAATTTTCTCTTGCTCTGGACTACGCTCCAGTTGCTTCTGCATCAGCAACCCCTAGAAAAACAAGGAAATAATATATTCAACAAAATAAACGTCAAATAATTATTATTCTCGACATAAAGCTCATCCTACTCTTTCTTATCTGCCCGTTAGCTCCATCTGTTACACCTTTCTCCATCCAACTGAACAGCGCCTAAGGCGCCCAGCTGATAACATCATTAATGAATAAACCTTTATTTTACCTAAGTTAATTAAGTTAGTTAATAACTAGTAGCATATCCAATGGATACCAATAGTAATCTAATGACTTACAATAGTATACTTTTTGATAATGTCCCTACCTGAGCTAAGAGCTCCTTTGCTCGCCCTCCACTCTGAATGTCCAGCAGTGCATTGTGGGCATCTTTCACATTACCGTGACGGAAGGCGCACAGACCAAGCTGAACTAGAGTTCTATTGTAGAGAATCTACACAATAAAATTTTCAATGTTAGTAATAATTTAACATAACAGCAATCTCAATTGCTTAAGCAGTTGCTTGTCTTTGTATTGTACTATTGTATTTTTTTTTTTTTTGTTATAATACATTTGGTGGACACTTGTTACCAGTAACCATGTCTTGGTTAATTTTATGATGTTCAGAATTAATTTCACAACAGAATGAGGATGCATATGTGGTCGTTAGCTGAGATGGATGGTCCTATTATTTTTGAGGGGTGTAAAACAAACAATGGCAATAGATCGTCAGATAATAAACTTCAGTATTACATTGGAAACCTTACCTGAGTAGGGATATCCGAATGGGTAATGTTGTCTTGTAAATGTGACATCAACATCAGATCACGTGCTTTGTACCAACGGTCATGCATGGCGTGATGGTAGATGTGACACAACATTGCACGCGTACGGATGCGATTTGTGGAGTCCTTAGTGTAAATGTACTTGCACATACGATCCATAAAATCTGCAACACTCTCTGTGTAAGATTAACAATAAAAATGTTTAATAAATGTAGATTTGTTTCATCAATAATAAACCAAGAACAATTAATGTAAACTTACTGTGAGCTTTCGTAATAATAATAAATATAGAAGATTTGTAAAGCCACATCTAAAAGCCAACAGAAAACACAGCACTTGCATTATTGTGAAGGTACTGAATGACATTTTTAAAATTGTTGAACACTGACCTTTCTGTGTTTCTGGTTTTTCTTCATCAACTTTTTCATTCTTTTCTTCCTCCTCTTTTTCATCCTTCTCCTCATCCTCCTTCTCATCATCTTTCTTTTCCCCATTATCAGCCTGCTCTTTTTCCTCTTTTTTCGTTGTGTCTTCTTTCGATCCTTTCATATTTTTGTAGTCATACTACAAGAAAAAGTTACATTCATTGTAAATAAGCAGAAGCAACAGCAATCCCTAATACTAAGTGATCATCTGTTGCCCTCTATATGGGAGAATCTGCTAATAATGTAATGACTATACATAACTTGCCTTGTAGTACATATGCTCAATCTGTAACAAGTAATTTCTGCATATTTCAGCTGGTGTTCCCTTCACTTCCATGTATTTCTGTAGACGGTCAATAATGCCGCAAAGTGTCTCCTCGTCCTGGAGTCTAAAAAAAGTACCAGAAAAATGTATTCTCTAGAATTGGAATGGAATGGTAAACCAGTCACTCGTCGCAAATCGTGTTTCAGAGAAAATGGCCAAGACATGCTAAAATGTCAAATTTTTAAAAATCTATTTTATTGCACTAAACTAAACTTTATATATCTACACACAATCCTATGCTGTTATTTTCCCCATTTTCAATGTTAAAACAACACTTTTTAAGGATTTAAAGATAGTTTCTGCATGAGAAATGCCTGAAATCATTAACTTTGAAGGCTGATTTCTCATATATTGTTCTTTAAACAGCTGTGTGGTTAAACGCTTGTAACTTCATAAGGAAATGTCCGATTTAAATGATTTTTTTACCATTTTATAGCTATTATTTTACTCTTTAACACTGTATTAATAACTCAAAATCGGTTTTTGCGATGAGTGACTGGTCTGGCTTGTCTTTGCCACAAATATTTTTCAAATTATAATATTGTTTATTGCTTTTTGTACAAACCCTGATAAAAAGTTACTAACCTATGACTGAGAGTTACTAACCTTACAACATATTCTGTTGAATGTGCATCAGTATTCTGCAGTATTTTGACATACTCCTTGTCCAGTCGTTCAATGACAGTCAATGGACAACCAACAACGAAATAGGGGGCAGTCTAACAAGTGTAAGAATCGAAATAATACGAAACCAATTTAGTTTGTGTGAAGCAGCTAGTTATTACCTTGCAATTGAGAATTTGAACGAAAAGATATTTTCAACCTCAATTAATGACGTGCCTCCATTTCTTACGGAAACTGCAGTCATTCAACATTGATGTATAATGAGAATTTTTTATTCTTCTGTTATTGAAAGCGCCCTTTTGTTTGGAAGTTTTATATGCTTTGGTAATTTAAGAAAAATCGATTATAACAGAATACAACGTATTATGAATCAGGCTGGAAAAATTCTACAACAAAACAGACAACTAGATATCTGTGAGATTAAAATTATTGATAAAGTAAAGAGTGTCTTAACAGATAGTTCCCATCCACTAAATGCATCTTTTCCTTGGCTACCCTCGGGTAAAAGTTTAAAATCACAAACCTGTAGAACAAATAGATATCTCAACTCATTCGTACCACTATTCATTCAAGTTCCTAATCAAAATATCAAATAAGTTTTAGGGGCTAATCATAATTATATTTTTGTACTTGTTTTGAATTAATCTTTCACTCTGTTTTTGCGATGTGATGTACCGATTTTCCGAAAGGACACAAATAAAGATTCTTGAATCTTGAATAATGCTATTCATATGTTATCTCTCTCTAAAGAGAAAACTTTTGCAGTAAATAAAAAAAATTAAAAAAAAAAAAAAATCGATTAGATCTGTCTCAAGAGAAATTGATGACGTAAACACTTAAAATGAGCAATTCGGCATTCAGGATGGTTAAGGAATGTTGGGAGGGTGAGGCAGGGGACTTTTGAGAGCCAGAGGGTGACTAGGCACCCTACCCTAAGAGGTTTGGTGGTGTGAGTAGGTGAAGCCCCTGCAGCTCAAGTATTCTAGATGTCTTCATTTACCTCCACCTGTTCTTGATCCAAAGCACCCTGGGAAAACTCCATATCCATGTTATTTGCAGCTATATCCAGCATCTCATTAATGAATTCCAAACATCTGAAAGAGACATTTGAGATGTCAATGGTGAATGTTGTATTATCTATGTAAACAAAATAACAAAAGAATTGCTTTGAAAAACTCTTCATTATCATGTACCAATTTTAGAATGAATCTCACCAAACCATTCATACCAATTGATAGTCCTAAGTGAAAAGAAACAAACATTCTTATAATTACGCAACAAGTAATTGCACTTGGCTTACTGGACAAAGAATTGTTTCCTTGACAAATAACAAATTTTAGACACTATAAAAGAAACAAATTATTTATTTGGGCCCTGTTTTTACTGCCACAGGCAACTGTAAGGTAAGGTAAGGTAAGAACTTACATAGCGCCATTTAAAAAACCGTCACTGGTTCAATTCTAATTTAGTTTTTATCATGACAATCAACAAAATAAAATGTGATTTTTATAAATTTAAAAGCATCAATATTGTAACTGTCTCTTATACACATCTAGATGTGTATAAGAGACAGGTGTTGGTGCGAGGGACAGAAATTAAATTGAGATCAGATGAACGTAGGGAACGGCCAGGCACTTATTTGGGAAGAACTGTGGTTCCATGCTGTGAAAACAGGTTGCATAGCGTTACAGAATTGAATATATTGGCTGCTGCTGTATGGTGTATTTTGTGGGCCTACTGAATGAAATAAAGAGAAAAAGGAAAAAGTACTTACTGTTCCCACATGTTGTCTTTCATACAACTGGCTACATTGGGATTGTAGTCAAATATTGATGAACCTATGTTCATCAAAATCTTCAAGTCCATACCAACTCCCAGTTTGTTCTCGTCTGCAATTTTTCTCAATTCTCGTAGCATCGAAATTTGATCTTTGCGATCTGTGCCTTTCTTGCCACGTGCTGCAGTAATCTCGTTTAACTTTTTCAACACAAGTGCATGTGTGATCTCAGCATCTTTAGCAAACATCTTTGGTTTTTCCTAGATGATATAGAATTTGATTTCTCGATTATGAAGATGTAACGTAAATAATGGTGCTCTAAGCATGCATGTAGGCAGTGAGTTCAGTATCTATCGTTTTCATTACCTCAACATCAGTATTTTAAACTATTTTTGGTATTATTTCTCTAAACATTATTTAAATACTTACAGAATGCACTGGAATGCCCTTGTCAACCTTCGTCCATTCGCCAGCTTCAGCTTCTTCCTCTTCTCTTTGTTTCTTCTTTTCTAATTCTCGCTGTTGTCGTCTTTCTTCCTTCTCTCTCTGCTTATCCTTATCCACTGAAGTTTTCTCCCTGTTAAAGAAATAAATGAAAGATCAAATATCCATAAGTCATGTTGTTGTTGTTGTTATTGTTGTTGTTGTTGAAGTCTTTTTTTGACCACAATGGGCTTTCAGAATATTTAAATTATTTATATTTTTAAATTTTAAATTTTCACTTATAGATCATGATAGGCAACGTTTTGAGTTGACTTATATACATTAAAAAGTGTTTGAGGCACATTTTGTAAGGCTCAGAATTGATAAAAAATAAAAAAAACAAGTTGTTTATCTTTAGAGACATTTGAATTTAAAATCGATCATACTCCAGTTCTACTTGACCTAGAAAAAACCAAAATCAACCTTACGAAGTAATTGATTTGAATGTGTCAAAAACTCTTTCTGAAGCCATGGCATCAAAAGACTTAATTGTGACAACACCTCATGTATGTGGAAATAAAGCTGACTTACGTTTTCAAAAAATAAGCAGCAGTAAATGTTCTTCCTTCTCCTTCATCACTAGAACTTGAGGAAGTATCAGAATCTTGGAAATCTGAATCAAAGTCATCACTATCGAAATCCTGTGACTAAAAAAAATAGGATAATCGTTAAGTGTAGTAAAATAACCTATAACTCATGCATCAATGTGCTAAATTACATATGGGCGGAGGTGGTCCATGACTACTGTAGCAGTAGTAGAGAGGAAATTAGTAAGTTTATGATCAATGGGGTAACCCCCCCACCTACTCTTTTGGAAGGCACAATGGGTTCTTTAAAATGCACACAAAGCAGATGCATATACCGGACCTCTGGTTTTATGGCCTTATTCCATAAGACTTCATTCTACCAACCGAACTATGCTTAAGTATTTGTGTGATTTTTTAAACATTCATCAATTATTTCAATCAATTTCATCAAAAACTTTCTCTTTATGTAACAATACCATACTTACAGCTTGTGCCTTCTTCATATCAACTTTTTTCTCAATTCCATCTTCCTCATAAGTTGATGCTGAGAAAGTAAATGACATTTTCATTTCATTAAATTTCTCAATACATTAAAATTTACAACATGACAGGGAAACACAAGTGAACTAAATTACCGTTAAGCAGGGTCCCTCTCACAATTTCAAATTAACTTTGTTTCTGAATTTCTTTTTTCTCATATTTTACTGAAATGTATTTTACTGAAATGTATTCAGTAGTTCTCCATACTCACAATCATCGTCATCGTCGTCATCTGCCACTTTTTCTTCATCTGAGACATCAGGATTCTAAAATTTTGAGAAAATGTAAAATTTTAAAATACAGTACTAAAAATGTCAATAGTATAAAAAGCCAATTCGTATTTCGAAATGTGCATGCACGTATCAATGGATATAGGTCAATCGATATAAACACCATAATAGGTTAATGTTGATTGACTTCGAATATGAGTATGTGCAGCTCCAACCATGAATTGATTTATTATAAACACACATATTAATACATACTATGGTTAATAAGAGTGTCAAGCATCAGTAGTTAGCCATTACAAGCCAGTTCTCATTTTCTCATAAATAATGTGAAGTTGATTTTGAAACAAATATTAATTTATATAGAAGTGGCACTTTAGCTTGTTGGTTGAGGTCCCTGCCTTCCCATATCTCAGAGTCCTGGGTTCAAATCTGACATTAATGCTGAAGAATTACCACTCTGACTCTGACATACCAAAGTGTAAGATAAAGGGACAATGTATGTATATGTAACCAAAGCGAAAATGTTGTGTAAACAGAAAGAAACACTGCTGCCTAAATATACAGTTACACTGCCTAAAATTAAATACAAGTAATTTTAGTAGCCTTGATTGTCGTACCTCCCTATAGGCTTTGATTTCATCATCAATGTCCCTGTTATGCTTCTTGAGCTTGTGACGTAGAGTTGCAAGTGACTTTCCATTCACCTTGTTGAACTTGCGTTTATCCTCCCAACACTAAAATACAAAAAACCAACAATAACTGACAAAGTAAAAATTACTAGGAACTTTATAATCAAGGAGAGAGAAATTGAGCAAACATTAATTAAGTTTAATTTGGTAATTCTGGTGCCATGTTACCATTCCCATGGTCACTGGTTCAATTCTAATTTAGTTTTTATCATGACAATCAACAAAATAAAATGTGATTTTTATAAATTTAAAAGCATCAATATTGTAATGCAGTTCCAATCAAATCAAATTTGGCAGGGCAATGTTAACTATCATGTGTATACAAAACAATGTTTTGAAACTATGATATGTCTTACTTCATTGACGAAATCTTCCAATTCTACAAGCGACCTTATGTAAAATCGAGGTAGCTTTTTCTCATCACCACTCAATACAGCTCTGTTCTTCTGAAAACATTTAAGTAGATCCTCAAACCCTCCAAGAACTTTAGATATATCCTTAATCTTCTTGTGATTCTTAATCTGACGTATAACATCATTAATCTCTTCAAACCTGAAAAATAAAAAATACAATAAAATACAGTAACACATTATCATAAACATACTTTCGGTTTCCGTTAGAATTGTAAGTTGTAAGTCGTCAGTTGAATAGTCTATACATTAATAACATAAATATTTGTACATTAATGATAATAATATATATTTATTTCCATTTTGCATCAGTATTCAGTGTAACTTCTCCTAAAAAGCCGGACCCCTAGGGTAGTAATACCTCGGTCGGCCCCACTTTCAGCTCCCCTTTCGGACACCTCTGAATCCGCTCCTGACAACTGGGAAAAAAATTGCTCCACAGCTGAAGGAATATATAATGATTATGTATTTATATTTTAACTTGACAATTAAAGTTCCATAACATTTAAGTATTATCTTATCATTCTTGTAATTACTTTTTGTCTTTAGCAGGTCGGACGATTCTCTTGGTATCTTCTTCATCGTCACTATATATGAATCGTGCAGTAGTAGACTTATTTGTTGCTACTGGCTGTGGTATATCGTCTTCATCTCCAGATGAACGATCACTCTCGGAGGAGGATCCAGTTTTAAAGAAACCCGACATATTGATGCTACAAAAGAATTGTAAAATTTATTAGTATAAATATTCATACTTAAAATATAGATAGGCCTACGTTTAATGTTAATTCATTTTATACTATAATATTCAGATAATATACTACTCTACAACTTTTAAAATTTCATCTAGGCCTAGAAACTCGGTATACATTGATTGCTCATTGCATTTACTAGAGAGGAGAGTCACTGAGCTGCGGGAAGTAGTTCTGGCTAGGACTGAAGGCCTAGGCCTAGCCTAGGGCCTAGCTTAGCCAACCATGGCATAACGACGACTCCCTACTGACTAGTACAGATGCTTATAAGTCTATCACCAGTATGATACTCATTTATCGGTTACAAAATATGATTATTATATATATTTTAACATATATTAATTTGAAATTTTACTAAAATTAATGTATATACAAATTGAAATTTACCGTATTGTCGCAACAGTCTCTAATGGAACCCGCGTGTGGACGAGTTGAGCCGCGCCCTCTGTAGCTCGCTGATTACTGTACATTTTCATTCATTTGTTAGCTAAAATCGATCGGACCATTTTCAGAAATTTGGCCCTATAGAACTCCCTGTATAGAGGATATGTGGAAACTCAAACACGAGAGGAATATATTTTCATTTTTTCTCAATGTAACAAAGCAGTTGCTTTATACATAGGTAGGTATATTTCAATGTGATTTTTTTATGAGAATATCGAATGTGACCCTTTGTCAAGGCTAATGCCCAGTTTATTCTTCCTGAGATTAATCAGTGGACTTATTGGTTTTTATACCCCATAATCCGCGGTCTATTTCTTATCCATTTGTATAACATACCGTATTTGCAATAATGATGAATCTTAGATATTTAAATATTCTTAGGGCTAATCTTTTATTTCACGTTAAGTAAATTATTTCATTTGGCATTGATTTTAAATTCAATAAGACGTCCATTTTCTTTCATTGATAACAATGAACATTTATTTCTTTTCAAAATTAATTTAAAATCTTTTGACAAAAACAATTGGGGCAAAGCATTAAAAGCTCAGAAGCTTGCAGCAGGAAAGCCCCGGGTTTTTTTTTGTTTGTTTGTTTGTTTGTTTGGTTTTTTTTCTTTTTCTTTTTTTATGTTTTTGTACATAATATAGCACCATCCTTTATGGGTTACCTTGATTTACCTTGATCTTGAAGCTAAAGCATTAATGCTTATTCGCCCAAATAAGTCTAAGTCTCTTACATACGGTTTAAACTTCTGGGGTGATTTTGCCAGTGTTCTTCAAGTCTTGATTTGAACTGATTAATTGACTATGAACCCACAGCTTCAACTGACATATTATTCCAATCGTTAATCACCCTCGTACTAAAGTTACGGTGGCCCTGTCGCTTTTGCTATCCTGTCACTGAATTTGGGTTTTCTTGTTATTTTTTCTTGCAATTCTGTTAGTATTTTGTTCTTATGTAATGTATTTTTCTATCTTTTTGATTGCAAAAAGGAATAAAATAAATTAAAAATAAAATAGACCAATAATAAATTATGAGAGCAAAGATCATTATCAAAGGAAAGCACATGCCCAAGTTGATGTTTTTTTAAACATTATTGTTGTACATTCTTAGAAAAATGGTTCTGGGACATGGCTGTCCTGTATTATAGAAGCCTCAGTTGAGGATATTTCCGAAGGGTTCTGTTTTTACCGTTCTAAACTACTTTAACGAACCTAAAATGGTTCGAAAGACACTTTAGCAAACCCATTTTGTTTGTTTGTTTGTTTTTTTTTTTTTTCAAATTAAAGGTTCTATATACTGTCAGGAGAGTTGAAGATCCTCTAAAGCATCCTTTTTGCTAAGTGTATAAAAACAGAAAGAGTTCGCCGATGAAGTTCATCGTTTTTCGAGTTGGATCTCAATAATCAAATTCAAAAGTATACCTCGCAGGGACGTATCCAGGGGGAGCCGTTGGAGCCGCGGCTCCCCCCCTCCCTTTTGTACACAGTGTTAAAATTTTACCCTGATACCTAGGCCTATGTACTGTACTGCATTGAGATCCTTTTAATGGAAAACATTGTCAATATATTACTATTTTGTTATCTTGTCACTTTTAGGCCCTAATATTGAACCTGTGAATGAAAAACACAATCAACACAAGTCAGAACCAATGGCTTAACGTCCTATCCAAATGGCGAGATAATTTGATTAGAGTATCTTGCTGAACTAATTCCATTTATGAGACCGTATTCTGATTTTGTATCAACAACTTGTGAGATAGTTCTGAATAGTTTTGATAAAGAGGATGCGTTCATATCAACTTTTCCCATTTTCTGATGCAGAGATGTTGTCCTGCCTTAGATTATGACGATCATTATAGAGGGCGCTTTGTGAATTCGTATTGGGGGATGCAATAAGAAATTTCCGGGTTACCAAACGCACACTGTTGTCCTGTGACGGCAGAAATCGTCTGATTGATTTGTCTGAAATTAATATTTATAGTATTGCAAGACAAAAGAAATGTCTCGCAAGGCAACAAATGAAGATTTATATCCATACCATTGGTTGGTTTGGCATAACGAGGTGCAGTCCCTCCGCAGAAAGCTGTCTGAACTTGATGATATAACGTTACAGGTAGGCCTCCTTCCTCGGCACTTTTTGACTTGCCCATCACAAATGTTGCGAGAAAGGTCGTGCGCTGCTGTCTAGGTGCACTCATCTGTCTTGATATGGCCTAGCGTTGTGACCTAGCGCCCTTGCCCATAATCTATGTGAATATTATGCCTCCTAGACCTAGGCCTATACCTTACCAGTAATATGGGAATTAAAGAGTTTATGCTTACTTAAGACTGTTACTAGCCTACAGGCTACCATTGCTGTTGTTTACATCATTTCAATCAATGATTTGTTTGAACAATGATATATTATTATAAGATTTTGTTGATGATGCATTGTTTAGATAAATGTCAAATATGCCTAGGCCTATACCAAAAAAAAAAAAAGTTGAGAAGGTCATTTGTTGAACCTAGGGGGGTGGGCATGAAAATTGGTCAGAGGGCCAAAAATTTTGAATGAATATTGGGGAGCCACACACAATTTTCTTTTCTAATTTGCCTTTAAATGGTACATATGTTTAATTTTGCAAATCAGAAAAAAAAATGTTTAAATTACTGTACATTGTATTATTAATAATAATGTAAGTTGTGTTCTTGTTTAATAAGTACTTTTACCTTTGATCAGCATCGGGTCGTAACAACAAGCCAAGAATGGTCGTATACGGGGTACTCAAATAAGGTTCTTAAAATTTAACTTTCGTGGACCGCAAAAAAATTGCCCACGGGCCGCATGTAGCTGGTGGGATGCACTTTGTCCACCTATAGTTTTGGCCTGTCCTTTTGTTTATCATTTGTATCCTTCAATAATAAGAAATAATAATGAATTTTTATTGGTTTTTTGTTTGTCTTTTTATGGATATTTATATGTAAATAATTTGAAATTCAGCATATGGCTGGTATGTTTTATATTTTCATGTTTTTCTATGATAATAAAGACCAATAATTTTTGTTCAATGTATGCTTCTTCTAAATGATGTAATCTTGTATTTTGGGAGTTTTCAGGTATGGTGAACCAATAACGATAATAAATTAAACACACTCAAAAAAAAAAGGAAAAGATATGTTAGAAATACCAGCTGTTTACTATTAACTCTTAATTTAATTTCATAAAAATAGAATGCCACTGGCTTTTTAGCAAATGAATGACTCAACATGAAACTACAAATTATTTATTCGTTTTCTAGCTTAATGTTGTAGGTGTGAGTGTCGCCAGTATTTGAGGGCAGAAAAAATGTATTGAGAAAAAGGACGATTGTAATTTTAAATGTGTTACTATTTATGTATTAATATTTGTTTTGATTTCATATCAGTTTTTTTGCCAATAGCAGCCAAAGTCATGAATTTTTTTTTTCTAAATTCATAGGAAGTTCTTGAAGCTAAAGATCCTCGTGGGAGAACACCCCTTCACCTAGCAGTATCCCTCGGCCACTTAGAGAGTACTAAACTTCTGCTACGTCATGGGGGACTTGTCAATGACGTGAACCAGGATGGATGGACAGGTGAGGTCACACGGCATAAATAATAGACTGGTTTACTCTTGTAAATTCTATATTCAATATTTTATGCCTGTTACAATGTAAACATTCTGAATTGGAAAGTTTGTAATTGGTGTGATGGGTTATATTTAGATTTCCACTGTAAAGCTAATGAAAATGAACAGTTGTTCCAATTTTAATTTTTTTTTATTACCTCAACAGAGATGGTATATGTTATGTATTACAGTACATAACAGCTGTATAAATTGTAACATTAATAAGGCTATATGTACTGTATATAAATAATTCAGTGGTAATTAAGTAATGACTAATTGTATAATGAAAATAATTTAATATTATAAAAAGAAATAACATTTGATTGATTGATTAATTGATGTACAGCCCTACAGGAGGCCGTGACTAGTGGTGACCCCGAGATAGTACAGTCGGTTTTACAGCATCGTGATCACCAACGAGCGACATCCAGAATTGGTGGTATTCCACAGCTTCTCAATAAATTGAAATCGGTAAGTGGAGCGGTAGCTTGTTGGTTAAGATGCTCGCCTTCCAAACAGCAGCCCCTACATTCAATTCCAGTCAATGTTACATGAATATTTTTCACTAATGAAAAAAAACGAAACTCCACTACCAAAGCCTCCTATGAGAGCATCCTTTGCGTGTGTTTTTCTTTTTAAAGGCCTTCTTTCGCTATTAATATTACTTATCAATAATCTTATTTCACTATCAATATTACTTAGCTTAAGTTAATTGGAGGCACAGACTTAAAACCTTAATGGAATATTGTGTCCTCCTCACACAACCTTACTATTATTATTGTAATTGTTTTTGTTATTATTATTAATATTTTTATAATCTTTATCTTTATTATTATCTTTATTATCATTATTATTGTTATTTTTATTATTATTATTGTTATTGTTATTTTAATTTTTACTTTAATTTAGTAATTTGCTAGTATTACTTAATTAGATTACATTGTCCTTGTTATTTATTTACCTTTCTGAAGAATTATATAATGTACTTTTTGCATTGTGTGAAATAAAATAAAATGAAATGAAATGGGGAAAAAAAACAGTATCACCATAATGGAACAGTCCGAAGTGTCAATCAAACGTAACAACTGACCAATCAGAACAGTGTGAGGAATATGCGTGCGTCCAACAAGCACACGTGTTGTCCCACAAACGCACATTTTTACATTTTTTTATGCTATTGCTCATGGTTTGTGGGACCCTACAAATATTTTTCCATGGGGCTGGGCTTAGCAGAAATGTGCATTTATTTTGCTATTGCCGTTTCTTTAACCTTGTGCCTAAAAATTAAATATGAAATAAATAAGCAATACTTATCCAACAAGTACTTGTATTCTTATTGCATTTGTATTAAATTACATGCTTTCAAAGATTTCAATCCAGGGGCTGTAGACACTTAGCTACCGTCTCACTTGTAAGTTGTAAGCGTAAATCCGGTTGAAGGAATACTGGTACTTGTAGCCATCTGATTTCAGACATTCGGCAGACATTGACATTATGTTGGCGTTAAAAGACTTCATATTGTGATGAGGGACCCGTGTATAAACAATTACCAAACACAAAAAATATGGAAAACTGAATGCTATTTACAAAATATTCTATGAATGATGAGATGCGTGTGTTGTAAGCTAAAGGTAAAGATGAAGTCTTCCAAAAGTAAACCTATGAAATATGAGGCCATGCCTATGTTAGACCCGTCCTGGAAAGAAATAAAAAGTCAACAATCTGTTACTTTTACAGTTATTCAAGTGAATTGCCAACACAGGAAGCATGGATGGGTTATGAGTTAAAAGTAGCCCCCCCCCCAAAAAAAAAAAAAAAAAAATATGTCAAGCAGTATGGGAGCCTATTTTTTAAGTTTACTTGTGGAATATTTGTTTATATTACAGGCTCCAGATTTCTACATTGAAATGAAATGGGAGTTCACAAGTTGGGGTAGGTGTTGTCTCACAGATTATTCTTTTGTTTGACATATTGATTGGTATCCAAGCATAAGGTCCTGTAAAAACATACTCTATGTAGTCTATACTGAATAGCAAGGTTTTTCTTTCTTTTAACTGATAAAAGTATCTTGCACATGTCTGGACCCATTATGAACCTGCTGTACAAAATAAGCAATCGGGGGGAGATTTAGGGGGGCCGGGCAGGTCCCCCTTTTGGAAAGTAAAAAAAAACGTAAAATGAAAGGAAGGTTATTTTCGGGGAACTAGAAAACAAAAATTTCCCAGACCCTCCTAGGGTAATGTTATTTCTCGATCTTCCCCCCCCCCCCCCCTTTTCAGACTTCGCTGGATCCACCCCTGTCAATTATAGCGGATTGTGCAACAACAGAAGTAGTAGTGAAAGATTAGAAGCTCAGTATTACATTTGTGGTGTTCCAAAAGAGTTAATACTTTAAGGAATTAATTTGATTTTTTTTGCATTTCACAAATAGTTATAGAAAAAAAAATGGAAAGGCCTTCCTTCAATGTCACACCTAAAATACAGGGGCGTTGATTATTTTACATTCTAATAATTGAACTGCGTACAGTATAAGTTTTATATCAAGCATAAAAATGAGGTAAAATCTTTGTGTATATCTTGTGGTCTTTAATTAACAAATAGTATAAAACTTTTTTATTTTAGTTCCCCTGATGTCCAGAATCTGTCCTAGCGACACGTACAAAGTATGGAAAAGTGGACCTAATGTACGAATCGATACAACTCTTATTGGTTTTGATAATATGAATTGGATCAGAGGCAGTAGAAGTTTTATCTTTAAAAATGATGGTATGTGAGAGATAGTTACCATGATACATTTCTTTAACTTTTTTAAATATTCAGATACAAACATGATGAAAAGTATCTTCAAATTATAAGCTGTGTTAAACAGTTAAAAACCTTTAAAAAAATCAATTAAAAAATTGAATTGCATATTTAAAAGAATTATATGAATTATCAACTTATCAAGTTATACACAGATTAGAAAAATTCAGTTTTAATATATTTTTTCATAAAATGTTCACAGTATTTATATACAGGAAAAAATTTCCCAGAAATATTATAATATGAAAACTGAAAGCACTTTCTGTTTTGTTTCTTTTCATTCATTCTCAAACTATAGAGGGCAGCAGATTTAGCTTTGTGGAAGTAGATCATGATCGTCGAGTTCTGTACACGGAAACGTTGGAGCTTCAGGAACACCATCAAGTGTGCAATATGATCCCATCGGAAGACAGCATCGCCGCACGGTTGACCTCGCCAGTTACGAACACCTATATTGACACCGATAAAATAGAGTTTACAAGGTAGATATATTTGTATAAGTTTAACGAATACAATTACGCACACATTCATTTTTGTTCAAGTCTGTAGAAATTCTGTTTCCTGCACTGCAGGTGATTTGACTAGGTCCTAAGTCTGTACCCCTTGATCCCCCGGCGATGCCTCTACTGTTACCTCATCAATGGCGAATACCTTGCTTCCCTCTACCAGGTTGATAGATTAATGCTACATTTTTAACCTCAAGAAACTTTGATGGTCATTTCTTTTCAGAAATAAAAGTGGCATTTGGGGTTGGAGACATGACAAAGTTGAGAATGTTAATAATTTTGAGTGTAAAGTGTTCAGTGCTGGTAATGTTCAACTAGTAACCAAGACAAGAACAGAACACTTAACAGAAGCAGATAAAGAGAGAAACAAAGGTACGTGTGAAAAAAACATTTCTTTGTATAAATATTTTTGCTGTAAAACAAATTCTTGTAGAAACTTGTTTACACAGACCCCCAGCAGTGGCACGCCACAGTTACGAAAACAATTTGTTGTGCAGTGCAACCCATTTACATGTCCATGCATCAACGGTCATCATGCATGTTAACATCAATGGTCATCATACATGTTAACATCAACGGTCATCATGCATGTTAACATCAACGGTCATCATGCATGTTCTGCATGCTCAACTGAAGTGTCATCCACATGGATATCCCTCCATGAAATAATAAAATCATCAGTCGTATTCAGGCACATCTCATTTTCTAGAGTGCTGCAGAATACCCTTAAAAAACTAATGGAATCACCCATCCTATTCAGGCAAATGAGTGGTGCCTGGATATGTGGGGTGATTCCATTATTTTCTTTTATATTCAGGGGTAAAAAATTGAATTTCTGTGACCCAGATCATGACTTTTGAACTTTTATTCTGATAAATTGATTGGTGTCTTTGTTTGATGATTATGTACCATTCCATAAAATTTTATGATGATCCATTCATTAGTTTTTGTGTAATCTTGCTAACAGACAGACAGAAAGACAGACAGAAATACAGCAGTGAATACATAACCTCCTTGGCATAACAAAGCTGTTTCTTTATTATTTATTATGATCTTGTGGTTAGCTAAAGATGTGTTCTGTAGATTTAACTGTACGCAAAACTTTGATGCCCTCTCATTTAAAAATCCTAACCATATTAATTAATTTGTTTCCATTTGTTGACATTGGTGTTTTATTCTGAATTTAGCTGAGACGGCCAGTATACCATTTGCATCACCCCTCCAGTCGTTGCTAGGGACAGCAGAGCAACAACAAGAAGAAATCATTGGAGAAACAGTAAGTTAGCTGTTTTTAATATTAATTCCCATCACAATCATCATCATTCTCATCATTACAATTATTGTCATTGAAATATATCTGTATGTACATAAACTTATCAACATCAGTATCATTAGTATAATTAGTATCAGTATCATTAATTATCATATCATCTTCTGTTGTCTTTTACACAATCATGAGATGCTGTCATCTTTATCATTATAATCATTATTTTTATATTCATAAATAGATAATGTGACCATAAACATCACTTATTCATTCACATACTCAGCAAATATAATAATTTGATTGATTAATAATGTATTCAATTTTTATTTCAATTTAGCCTGAAGTTTCACAAGTTATCAACCCATCTAATCCATCGGATATCAAGCCGGAAGATTATTTTAATCCTGACTTTGACATCTCCGGCCGTGACATCGGTCGACCGAAAGAAATGACAACCAAAGTACAAAAATTTAAAGCTACACTATGGTTGAGTGAAGAGCACCCTCTATCGATGCAGGAACAAGTTCTACCAATTATTGACCTCATGGCAATCAGTAATGCACATTTTGCAAAACTCCGAGATTTCATCACACTGCAACTACCTTCTGGTTTTCCTGTTAAAATAGGTAATTTAGTTCAAAATTGTACTGTATTATGGATACTGGTATATCGTATACTCGCGTATAGGCGATTGATCCCCGTATGAGACGACCCCAAGTTTGAGAAGATTTTTGGATGATTTTTGTATGTCGAGCGTATAAGACAACCCTCCCTCCCCTTCCCATTCCAACGTTGGAATCCCTACCTTTTGCTGCTGTTTGTGGTCTTAATACTGCATCTGCCTAGGTATATACTTAGCCAAATGTAGGACCAATCTTACAAAATACCATTTTATGGGCTTTTAAATGTTCATCAAAATATTATTTCCTCACATTAATTGCATTTATTCATACTAACAGTTAGTAGCTTCATTTCAGTAGTAAATTTGAGTGTTACAGACGATCTGCATACAAGGTGAACATGATTTACAAATATTTGTGTTTCTCATATAAAAGACGACTCACTCTTTTTCAAACGTAATTTTCTATTTTAAGCCTCATCTTATACATGGGAATATACTGTAATGACTAGACATAGCAAAGTGGTTCAAAGTTCAGATATGGCTCATGTAGGTGGTCAAAATTTCAGTCATTAACTTAGACATACTGTACTTTTCAGTGTGTCTCAATTTGACAGAGGTTCAAGTTTTAAATAATTAAACAGTATCAAACATTTGTATTTAAAATTGACATTCAATGGTATTCATTGTCTTGCAGAGATACCACTTTTTCATATTCTAAATGCAAGGATAACATTTGGAAACTTGTACGGTTTAAAAGACCCAGTTGAAGGTGTTCTGGCTCTGGACGACTCAAAAGATACGGACGAAGGCAGCGAGGTAGATGAGGTTCCAGGTGCCAACAAGAAATGCATTGTAGATGAAGCTATATTTGAAGCACCTGCAGGCTATAGCAAGATAAGAACCGATCAAGTACGCTATGAAGATGATGAGATGCTACAATTTGCCATACAGCAAAGCTTACTTGAGCAGGAGAATGGTGGTAACAATGTAAGCAACGATTTGAATCCTGTCTATTTCTAACACATTCATTGCCAGACCTTTTTAAAGGTTCCTTCCTGTGTGCCAAAACTAGTTTACATGTAAAAACATACTTTTTTGAAATATTACCTAGTCATATATCATCAAAATGATGTGTCTAATAAATTGGCAGGAAAATATTAGTAGATGAGTAAACTCGTCGATGGCACTGTGTTAGCTCTTTCTATTAACTATGCAAAGTGCGAGTTGTCTCGTCCACTTTTTGCATGGGTTGGTATATGTTCAAATGCGCCCCACTTGTGCTGCTCGAGTGTACTACCGGCAACATAACAAAATAAACATAAATGCGTCATTTGTACATTATCATCTTGGTGTATTTCCCCGATCTACCAGCCATTGAGTCTGTGGATCTACAATGTATAACAAAGAAGTTATGAACGGTAGATTGTTACCCCGATTTTTTCAAGTATACTTGTCTCGGGTGCCCTCAGCAACATCCAGTGGGCGAGTATACATGTCGCTGGCAGCCAATGTGTTAACATCTAGGTCTTCAATAACTTTAAAAGTATTGCCTACAAAGAAAAGTAGGCCCCTACTTGAATTGAAACTTGGAAAGTCACAAGACCAATTGAGGTTCGGCCTCTGCATTGGGCTCATAATCATTAAAGAGTTCAATACCAGAGGCACCAACAGCTAACAGAGGTCTGTGTGTATTCTTCCACAGTCATGAATAATTCCTGGTTAACACTTATAAAAAAGACATATTTCTACCAAAAGAATTGAGGGTAAAAACTTCAAAAATTGAAATAAAATTGTTTATTTCAAAGAACCTTTTTAAGACAATTATTCTACTTTTTTCAGCTCAACTCTTGGGAGCAAGGTGATTCAGTTAACCGCGTAGTAATAGGTCAAAGTGCAGAAGATGAAATTCTACAGAGGTAAAGTACACAATACAATTCAGCACTAGTCCTACATTAATCTTTAGACCTGCTGAAAATATTGCTAAGCTTCTTATTGGCTGTTAATGAACCATCCTGCTAAGCTGTGCTCCTTTGATGTTGTTGGTAAAAAGCCGCCTGTTTTCCACTAGGTGAATTTATTCGTGCGAATCAAAAATGTTGGTTATTGCTCATGCGCATTCACATTTCTATTGAGAGTTTTTCCCTTCAGCGAAATCAGTAGTTTGAACTGTTTCTACATTTTGCGAAGCGAAAAAATGCGCAACCAATCAGAGCTCAGGAAGCAAACTGGAAAACAATCTTAAGATAGTCCCACAAAACAACAGCCTAAAGAAACATGGCTGAGTGTATGAGTGGTTTATATTGTAATTATCTGGTCACATGACAGAGGTAATAGTTTGTTCACATGACTAGTCATGTGATTATTTGTAGAAACAGCAAAAATTTAAACTAAAAGTACTGCTTTACATTAAAAATAAAATGAAACATAAAATTAAAATAAATAAGAAATGATATTTTATGTAATTGAAGCTGTATTTTCTATTGATCCTCCCCTTTTTAAATTTTTCTGGTATCTCTTCAGGGCAATACAAGAGAGCCTACAAGAGTCACGTCCAAATGGCTCAAACCAGAACACCACAACTCAAGGCCAGCAGATGTGCAATACCAATGCAGCTAGCATGGATGAGCAGATGCTGCTAGCCCTACAGATATCCCAGCAGGAGCTGGATGCACAGGAAAAACAACGCAAAGAAGAGGAGGATGAACTACAGAGGATTATAGCACTTTCACTCACAGAGAAGTAGCAAGTTATATGATTGGTTTAAAGGTCAATATTATAACAAGTTATTTGATTGGTAGAAATCATCCGATTAGTATTATTTTTATGAACAATATATGTAATTGGCAGAAGGTATTCGATTGGCTTAAGGGTTATTAGATGTTAATTGATTGGTTCACTTTTATGATTTAAAGGTGTTTTTATATTAGGCCAAAAAAATGGGGGTGCTGATAGGGGGCACAAAGGTGAAGTGAGGGTTTGATGATCAGTTGTTGGACTCGCAAAATAAGGTGATTTTTAACTACTTGCAAGTGATTTTGGGGGGGAGAACGCAAGTAATTTTTTGAGGGGCGTGTGCACACCCCTTAGATACGCCACTGATGGTGGGGTAATTATGTTGGCCAGAAATAAAACCACCCCCCCCCCCTTCTAGATAATTCTATAATTTTTGTGTCTTCATTTTCCTGCAGATTATACTTTTGGAATATCACCTATATTTGTCATCGTTATGCGTGGGAATTTTTTTGTTTTGAAGGCGTTACAAGAAAATACATGTTAGCAAGGGAGACAAGCCAGGTATTAAAATTGGTATGATCATTAATATGAACCTTAAATCAAGTACAGCACATGTAAGATCCAGTTCCGCAGCTTGAGGCATGGCCGATAATGGTCTGATCGCATGACAGAGATAGTGGTTTGTTCACATGACTAGTCATGTGATACATAATTATTTGTAGAAATAGCAAAAATTGGAATTTAACATATTGCTGTTAAAGGTATCATGTGATCAGGCAAAAAGTGGTTGTATGTTTGTGTTGCTATGACAATGGAGGAACATACGACATGTTTATTATAAATGACCAAGTTGAACATTTTCTTTTTGTAATGATGTAATGATGATGAATTTTGGCAGTTGCAAGACATTAGGTCATGTGATGTGAGGGAATATTTCCCTCTGTACTCTCTACTATTTTTATCATCTGTTGTTTCTGGCTCAATCCTAATTCAATATTTGCTATTCTCCCTTAAACAAAATTGGAGGGTATTGAGCTCAAATCCTGATGGAGATGATGCAAAATTCTGAAAAATATGTTTTAATTTTCCTTTGAAAAAGTTCAGTTCAGCCTCTCTAAGGTCAAAGGTGAAGTGTTGTTCACTGTTTACCTCATGATGAGTAGTAATTTTAATGCAAATCCATTGTTTTGTTTCAAATTTGGATTGGAAATGAAATTCATATGAAAAAAAATATGTATAAGGTATTGTATTAATATTAGTTATCCACCTTTTTAATTTACTTTCAATTGGTGCAATTATAAACTGGTTTAGTTTTAAATAAAATATTTATAAAATTAATTTATTCAAATTAATACACACTCTGTTTTAAATTGCATTAGCATAAACAATATATAATTTTATATACTGTAGTTATTTTTAATTTTCATCCCACTGTCAAATCTATATTTATTTTTGAATGGTTCACACTACCTATTTTTTATGTTACAAATATCAGTGAGTTGCCCATATTTAGGCGTGATGTCCAGTGGGGGATTCAAGGGGGTTGGGGGAGGAGCCAGCCTGAGCACCGACCCCCTAAATTTTTCAAAATTATAAATATTTAATTATAATCAAATTTAAGTCTGAGAGTGTCATTTCCAGCCATCTAGAGGTGCCATAAATAATAAATTTTCTTTCCTCAGCTCCAACCATGGTGGGGCTGAGGTGGGTGAACCCTCTATTTGTAAAAGTACCTCCCTTGGCCCCCCTCTATTTCAAATTCCAGGATCCACCACTTTTGTCACATCATGGTTATATCATATTATACTCATGTGGCAAATCGCTGGTAATTGTCCCATAAAATTTGATGCGGTGTACTGATCTGTAGAAATATTTCACGTTTAAAGGTATTGTCTGCTTTGACAAATTTGAAAAATAAATTCAATATTTAACTTGCTTATTTGTATAATAAAGTAAATTATTAGCTTTAAATGAGAAAATATTTTCAATACCATGTAACAGATGGAACAGTTTCTGCACTCTTTGCACAGACCCACCCTTACGGCCGTTCCAAGGCAAAAACGACGCAACTTAACAATGTAAGAGCAGTTATGTTGTTTTGGGATCTCGTCGGCCTACAACCGTCAGATGCAGTGAGTACTCAGCCTTAGACTGTAAAAATGGGTGGGGGAGCCAGGTTCCTCGAGGGAGGGTCCCCCTGTAAGCCCAGCTTGCACCGTCACTGGCTTTGATCTGCGTTGATAACTTATTAGATCCTTTCCAAATGACCACTTTAATTTTCTATTGAATTTTTGAAGATTTTTCATCAGATTTCACAGACTTTTATCTTTTAAGTTCATTTTAAAATAATGATTATGAATAATTACAAAAAATATAATTTTTTAATGGTTGTAGTTTATGATTGTATATTTATAAAAATTGTTTGAAGAAGCCTTATTTCAGCATTATTTTTAATTGCTAATAATAATATAAAATATAATAAAATAATAATAATGCTTCAGTAAGGCACTTCACATGTGGACTGGTAGTACTTAGACATCCTTCAATAAGTTAAATATTACATCCTTGCAGTTTGCATCATGCTGGATGGATGGATGGTAGAAGTTTTTATTGTGTTATGTACAGTAATTTGGATGTATTGTCATAATTTCAACTCAGTTGCCAACCGCATGAATGATTATCATTAACAACATAATCATCATCACATCATATTAATCATTAGAATCATCTCCAGAAGATGATGATCATAACCATCATTATCATCAACCTCATCATCATTATCACTGTCCCGATCACCATCATTTATCCTCATCATCATAAATCATCACATTTTTCATTATTATTTTTGTAATATGGACAATCGAGCTCTATGCACACAATCAGTAGGGAGCTTTCGATTGCATGACGACGGTAGAACGTAATGACGTCACTAAAAGTCATTTGTGTATGCGAGAACGTTAGGGTCACCTCATCGAGTAGATTCTGGAACGCAATTTGGCCAAATCTGCATATGCAGAACGCAGAACGATAGGTAGGACAGTCACGCATGAGTGATTCTGTTCTAACGTCGCGTCGAAATCTCCCTAATTTTTATATGTCAAATGTGTGTGATTTGCCCATATATGGGCAAGAGGATGTCACACCCATGAGCAAATTACAAAAAAATATGACACTTACAACTTTGTGAACAGAACTAGAGATTTCAGAAATACTTTTGTGTTTGAAAATCATTGTCTTTTTAATAACTAATCATTGTCATCACATTGTTGCTACCAAAACAAATGAATTCTGGGGACTACTAAGAACAGTTTTCTTTTTCTTTTTTTTATGAGAAATGATTTTAGTGGCAAACATTCATGTCACCTGTATCTGCTAAATGTAGGACATGAAATATGAGGGAAAGTGGAAAAGTATTTTGTTTAGTTAGTGATCTAAGTGACCCAGCAACAGGGTAATACCCTTGGGGAGGGGGACTTTCCTTTGTGCACTCCCCAGTTGAGATGTACAATCATCATAAATTGTATCTATATATCATTTTCTTTTGACCATTTTCATACTTGAAAATGCAAAGTGCAATAGTAGATTAGTAACATGCAATTGGCAAACTTGTTACCTGTTGTAACTTGCACCACTAAGTTTAGGTGGATAAATATTAGGATTTTGCTAAAAAAAAAAGTTACATTTCCATCTTATTTTAAGGTGCATACAATTAAAATCTATTATATATGTTTATGAATTTTATTTATCTTTAGTAATCTTGTAAAATTAGATTAATTAGATTAATTTCAGAGTTTTCCCATAGAATTGGAACTTGTTTATTAAAGGAATGTACTGTATACATTTGTAAACTTTACTAGCAAAAGCTTTTATGGGAAATTCTAGGATTTCTCCCGAGACTGATTGTAGTATTAGAAACTAACACCGGTATGTATTGTGGAATTATTTCACCATACTTGGTCACTGAATAGTGTAACATACTGTAGGAATATGTTAATCTTTTTTGTTAATGGTTTAAAGTTAATTTTGAATTCATTTGAAAATGAATTTGAGGTGGCATGCATGGTTTGATAACTGGTTATGGTTATCTTTACAATTTTACCAAAACTGCTCAATTAGCCAAAATCTTTTGGCCATAGTTCCTAAAATGTTCATTGTATTATTAATATAAATTTTGTTCATTTCTAAAATTTTTAAGGTGGCAATTAATTATCATTGAGAAAAAAACTAAATTATTTGATCAGGGAAATCAATGTTAAAATAGTGACAAGGTATATATGTACTTACTGTATATCAGGGTAAAAAAATTGTTTTGTTGCCTAATTATAAACTCGCCCAAAATACTTTGGTTGGTAATCACAGCTAAAATCCAATGTTAAGCCAAGGTATTTAGTTATTGCTTGAAAAGTTGCCCTTAAACATCATACAACTAAGGCCACATAGAAAAAATTGTTAGATTATCACTCCCGCCCGCATCAAAAAATTTGGGAAATATTGATGCGGGAATAAAAAAATATATTTTTTACCACAGCTTAAAAAAACAATAAAATTTTGTGACTAGAAATACATTTTTGTTAAAAAAACAATAAAATTAAACCAGTTTTTATACAATATTTACAATATTCTTTCCAAATAAAAACAGTCCTTCCCTCATCAATAAAAAAAAAGGGAAAAAAAGGAATATTCTATTGTCCCGATTGAAAGGAAACAAAAAAAAAAACCACCCGCCATCATTACTTTTTTTTAAAGGGAGATAATATAATAATTTTTTCTATGTGCCCAGAAATACAGGTGTCCCTCCAATTAAAGACCCCCTCCAACTAAAGAACAATTTTCTGTGGTTCCAAATTAGCAGATGTCTTTTATCTTTATTATTCTAATTAGAGACCAAAGCAGCTAAAGACCATGGAAACCCGGGTACCAAAAGTGGTCTTTAATTGGAGGGAGACCTGTATTTTGACCGTGGTATGAAAGAAATGTCAGAAAAAGCCGACCGTAGCTATTCAAGATTTTTCTCGGCAGATTTTTTTTTTTTTCCCCCGATATACTCCAGCCGTAGCTAACACAATGTCACTAAAATAGGCAAGCATTCCAAACATGTAAAAAAAAAAAACAATAATACTATATTATAAATATGAAAAATTTACAGGTTGAAATTGCTTTAAAACATTAAGATCGTAACAAAACTTCTGTATATCTAGCATTATAATTTCATCTGTATTTATTTCGGAGATAAACAAATTGTAGAACCTTTATGATTTCTATAGTATTTTGAATTATTCCTCAAAGATTTTCTTTTTAAGCATTATGATTTAAGACTTTGGTCTCATATTAAGTGACTAACGATAATAAAATTTATTTTAATGTATTATTATACCTATTAGGAACCTAGGGTCTTGTTTTAAATGCATATAATAACAATGATGATGATAACAGTTCTGTATAAAAAATGCTGTTACGAGACAGATACTTCAATAAATACTGTGTGTGAAGTTGATGAATTATTCTTCTTTTACATCATATTTGCTTATTTTTTTAGTCCTTGTTTTGCAAGCCTACCGGCCATTGATTATTTGCAAGTAAAAATATAATTATATTTTTGTCTGTTATCATACCCCTTCCCTGAAAAATGAACATTTTTGTTACAAAAATATGTAATTTTGTACCTTTTACAGTTAAGGCCAAATAAAAAAAAATTACAAGTCTCTCGTCCCCTTGCGCATCCATTTTCTCTGCCTCACCAAATTTTTTTTTTAATTTTACAAAATGTACGAAAATCTGGCTCACATTCAGTAAAATTCCTCTCCTGATCATTCGTGGTTGGGAATACTTATGGTATGAATCATGTCTAGTGCTTCTTTTTTTTGCTTTTCAATGTGTCTACTTAATAGTAAAAATGAGAAAGTAGTATAGTAACTGTTTTCCATCTCAGAGTAAAAAAAAAAAAAAGAAAGTGCCCTCGCTCTCCTTTTTTCAAAATATTAGGACGAGAAACTACTTTTTTTTTTAACTTGCCATAATCTTGCTGCTGCCCTGAAATCTTCCAGTGGGAAATCTTATTCACTTCAAAACAAAGAATATATCAGTCAGTTACTAAACTCTTACAATACACACCTAGAGCAGGGCCTAAGGGTGCCCTCTGCTACTTTTTACCTCATACACAGATTTGTGTATTTGTCAAGACTTAATTTTTATGCTAGTTAAATTACAAAACAAATTTTATTTTTTTCCCGCTGTAATCTCTCAAAAGTTAAATTCATTAGACGAGGTATTAAAGTGTTGCCTACAGGCACTTTTACTGATAAATTTAACAGACTACCAGCCAAACTTAGTGAATTTATTTTATAGTATAGTGCTATAAATAATTATAACATAATCATCACTTGCGAGCACAACAAAGAGTAATTAAATTTTGTAGACTGTCACCACCAATACAGACTTGAAAAATGTTTTTGAAATTTATTGATGAGTTTTATTCTGTTATTTTTGTAGCACCTCTATTTGATACAGCATCCCATGCTAATAAATACCACTACTTAACCCCAGACAGCCACACTTTCTAGTGAAGCCATAACCAATATACAAAATAAATTTAAATAGAATACATAAGAATGGGTATTTCAGTAACGGTTGCATGAGAATGTTATTCTCGGTTGCTCAATCAACAACAGTTCAAAAGATAACTACATTTATATAGAATATGTAATATTCTCAGTGAGGTATCTAGGGGAGGGTGCATGCTTATACCACTACAAAAACTTGCCCCCCCCCCCACCAAGTTATTTCCCCATTCAAGTAGATAAAAATCACCTTATTTTGTGAGCTAGTGGCCACCCCCCTCACTTAATCACTTCACCTACGTGCCACCATCGCCCCCCCCCCCACATTTCAACACTCCTTGATACAACACTGAATATACTGTATTTAAATAGGGAATGCTTTATTTCATATATATAATAAATACCTACTATGGTAATCTTTTTTAATGATGAAATTCTGTAGGTTTTATCAAGTGTCCATAACCATGCCCTTCACCGTCAAAAGCAACAAGGAATCAACACCATGATTTTCAACGCCATAAAAAAGCTCTTTTTTCAGTGATTTCCTATGGATAACCTATTCATTTTCCTATGTTTGTAACAAGTGGATTTGTGGGGTCATGTCCTTCTTTGCAAATCTTCAAAGAGAAGTCCACTGTTGGATAGCCTTGCGTTAACTTACCAAGGGACACAACATCAACATATTCCCCAAAATATGATTGTAATGTGTCTTTGGTAATTCCCCCGCTGACCTCTACAGTTACATTTGGAAACCTTTCCTTGACAACCTTGGCTGCTGGATGGAGAGTCTAGTAATTGGAGAAAGACAAAAGAAACATTGTAATAATATAGGGATTCAAAATATGCTGACTATTTTTTTATATCCAAAAAAGGTACAATGTTGCCAGAGTTCTTAGTAACAAAGGAAAGGGTTACTATAATTAGAGTGTTTTCAAAAAAAGATCAAAATAAATTTTAAATTTTGCTCTACTGACTGAACTTTGAAGCACTATTATACCTTTGGGTGGAAATTATCTAACATGACAACGTCAGCTGCAGCTGTGGCAGCTTCGGTTGCTTCCTCTATACTCCGACATTCAACCTCAATCTTAATTGAAAATCCTCCAACACTCCGTGCAGCATCCACAGCCTATAACACAACAGAATAACGATTTTTGCGGTATTAAAATACACTTCCATCAAAAAATAAATTTTCAATCCTAACACAAACATTCAATGATACTGTGAATGATTAATATAAATGACCTTTCACCTTTGCAATGCTTCCTGCACTCCATATATGGTTATCCTTCAACATAATCATTGAAGACAAATCATAGCGATGTGTTGAGACCCCTCCCACCAACAATGCATACTTTTCAACCATTCTAAATCCAGGAGTGGTCTTCCTTGTCCCAGCTACTTTTCCATGCCATCCAGCTTCTTTAGCCATATCTGACATTTCCCGTGCTATGGAAGCTATTCCACTAGCCCTTGTGATGCAGTTCAAGCCTATTCTTTCACCCAGTAGGATATTCTTAACAGGTCCTGTTACTGTGGCAACGGTACAAACTGGCTGTAGTAGCTCTCCTTCAGAGAAGTACCACTCCACAGTGCACCCTAGTTTGGTGAAAATAGCGCTGAAGAAAGGGACTCCACAAAGAACACCTCTGGATTTGCATAGCAACACTGCAGACTCCTGTTTACTTCCAACAACAAATCCTCCATAATCAAAGCTGGGTGTATCCTCTTGGAGCCATCTTTCAACCAGCTCTTGTATGGCTACTGGGTGTAACAATGATGAAAAATCCTGGACTGTGTTCTTCAGGACAATGGATTCTGACATTCTCACAACCTACGGAAACATCAAACAGAAGTTCTTAGCCATACAGATAAGATTCTTTCATCAACAACACATATTAAGAACATAGTAGGTATAATTGCACAGCAATATCTTGAGGCCCGCCGTCAATTATGGGTCAGCGCTACAGTGATCCATGCCAGTTTGATGAATAACAAATGCCAACTCCACTTTATTGAAAAAACCCAGTTTTCACTAATGCCAGACTATCGACTTGCCGCCATCCATTTTGCTACAATTGACTTTCTTTGAGATAGCTGCCACAGCCACTTCTGAGAAATTACTGAGAAAATGTATCCAAAAAGTAGTACTGTAGTAATGATAAAATAAAATTTCACACAGAAAAACCAGAAATTTTGTAGAAGCTTTTAGGCTAAGTAAAAAAAAAAAAGGTTACTCGTCCTAATATTTTGAAAAAAAGGAGAACGAGGGCACATTTTTTTCTTTTTTTTTTTACCACCCAAAATGGCAAATCCAAGATGTCAATGGTAAACAGCTACTACTTCCCCACTTTTACCAACTAGACACATTGAAAGCAAATAAAAGAAGCTCTACACATGATTCATACCATTTTTCCCCAACCATGAACGATCGAGAGAGGAATTTTACTGATGCGAGCTAGCCAGATTTTTGTATATTTCGTAACATAAAGGAAATTTAAAAAAAAAAAAAAAATTTGGTGAGGCACAGAAAATGGATGCGTAAGGGGACGAGAAACTAGTAATTTTTTTTAGTTGGCCTTATCACTAGCAGACATTTCTGAATGCAAAATAGTGTACAGTATTTTCAGGCATCTATAAAGCATACGTTGTCTTGGGGTGAAGACACACATACCTCTAATCACTTCATTCCCCATGCTCATTTTTTTTTAATTGCAACAATATCAAAGAAGTGGGACTTGGGAAGAAGTTCTGTATTTTCATCAATATATTCATGTATATTATCTTAAATGCAAGCTATAAAGCTATTGCATAACCATGAGCGTACCTGCTTATACAGAGTATGACTGCTGTTTACGCAAGCACCAGACTGTATAGTAAGGCCTTCGTGGGAATTTATCCTCTGCGCAAATCCTAGAAATCCGTCCGTGCATTTCAGAAAATTAAGGGCCGATTTCCAAATAGATTTTGCTGAAATTTAGGCTTTGACCTAATCTGAATATATATATAAACAATTAATTTATTTATTTTGCAGTAATTACCATTCCGTGCACCTATTTTCTAAGCAATATTTATTGCAAATTCGAGCTGGTTTTGAGGTATCATCTGCGCGATTCAGTATGTAAGTAAACTCTACAGTATGGCGCAAGCGTATGACTGAGTCAAAAAAAGTTGTTTGCTGTCGTTCACCGCACACTGTACATGAGACGTTTGCAAATTGTCCCAAACATTATCAAAAAAAGACATGTGTCAAAAGTAAACTTCTACGCACAAGAGGGCCACACCATGACTTATCTTTTGTATGATCGGTATGGCTCTATATTGTTTTGACTAAATCTTGGTGTGGGTTGACTCTCTCTCACACAAGGGCCAAGAGTCAGAGCTAAGCTAGCCCTGTAATGGCAGGGAAGTGCTGGTGCACTGTTATGTTATTGTTGCAGCACTTCGCCCTTCTCTGCTGCTGGGCGGTGGTGGGGTAGGGTTAGGCCTAACTCTATAAAGCCTAGTCTTACAGACCATTATTATCAATTTTAAAAAGTAGTATTTATACATACTGTATTACTTTTTCGTACGATCTTAACTATTAATTATGTCAAATTAATAATACTGTACTTTGACTAAATAACATGGAATTCTTCTAACTTCTACTCAGTCAGTCGGACTGTCTCCCATATGTGTTTTTTGTTGTGAGTTTTGTAGAGGGCAGCAGACACCAAGATTGACCTGGGATTGACATCCAAGCTTCTATTCGTTCTCCCACTCTCTCAGCATGCAGCATGCAGAGAGAGAGCCGCAGAGAGGCATGACTTGCAGCTAGCCTAGGAATGCTAAGCCTTGGCTGTATAAAGGCCGCAGCTGCTTGAAATCCTAGATCAGGCATTGAGTTGTTATTTAATAAATGACAATACCATTAGTAGTAAGTATTTTATTAATAAAACATTAGTAATTTATTTAGGCTTAGGCTAGCTTAGGCCTAGCTAGGTTTTTTTAGTCTTCTTCCTTCCTACTACTAGCCTAGGCCTACTACACTAGGCCTAGCTAGCTAGGAGAGGGGACGGGGAGGGGGGTGGGGGTGGATGACCAGGCTAGGCCAGCCTGGCTGTGTATGTGGTAGTGACGTAGGCCTTGCCTAGCCTAGAGGCTGGCCTTCTACTAAAACTATAATATACTGTATTAAGCATAATGTACTGAACTACTATATATAGGCCTAGACTAGCAAGGATAGGCTAAGAGCGGGGGTGTATGACGCACTCATCATTCATAAATACTGTTTTGGCGGTGAAGTATGATGACTATGAAACGCTTATTATTGTACGTATGCTTTTATAATTTATATGTTTAGGCCTAGGCCTTAATTTCTTTTGTTGAGAATAATTTTTTTTTTTTTGTAGCATGACATCAGACTTTATATGAAATGACTTTTGGAATGGTAAACATCTAATCAACTCTTTCATTTTGATAGTGTTTCCAAGGTAACATATTTGTTATTTTTATACTTATTTGTTTTATTTAAATATTCACCAATATGTATTTAATTATACTGAATCATTAATCAGCAAAATCTTACTGTGTATTTAATGATTTATGTGATAACATGTTGTCAATTGCACATCACTAAATACATTTATAATATGAGAGGGGGCATCCGACACGAGTTTTAAACTCCATGCCTCCTATTATCCCTAAAGGTAAGATATCACTAAAGGTAAGATATTAGTTTGACAGGCCTCCTATTACAAGTTGTTGAGGTCCTTTTTATCTTACACTTTAAAAATGATATATTATTACAGCTATTATTATCAATGCATGTGTTATTTTTATTGTTTGGTTTGTATTATAATTGATGAATAAAGAATGAATTAATTGATATGTTTTATTTTCCATATGACATGGTGTACACATTATTTTAGTTTTATTGCTCAGTAAAATGGTACAGACATTTACAGTTAAACTTGCGTAAGTCGACTTAGCTTAACTCAAATAAAGACCTATTTTTCATTAATTAACAATCTGTAAGTCAAATTTTAAGTCGAACAATTTTAGATTCAATTTAGACAAGTTCAATTGTATTTTAAAGCCCTGTCCAGACTATTTGACAAAAACATGTGACATGCCTCAATATGGTCATGATGACATCACACCATGACCATATATAGGCACATCATTACTATACATGGGCATACAATAGTTTTTCTTCAAAGGAAATTTAATAGTGTGAACAGAACTTAACTTTTTTAGCAGAGTTTATACTTTTCAGGAAAACAAAACCCTCACTTTAATTTTGAGTAATACAACTCCATGGTTTTTAAAAAGCATTAAAAGTTTTTTTTTTAATGCTGTTTCCATTATTATCCACTCTAGTTTGTTGTAACAGTATTTGGAGGAATAAATATTAGAATGGGTCTAATTACCCTTATTGATCTTTATCTACAACGGAAAGGTAGTGTTCTTTGATTCATATTTTATACAAGACTTGGTTGTTTTACTTGTGATTTTTTGTTTTGTCTGTTTAAGTCGTTATCTTCAAAACACGATTTCTTTTTCTGAGGTAGTTGGTTAAATATTTGCCACCCTTGTGTCTCTTCAATCGTTAAGAACGTTTGTCTTTTTGTTATCTGTCATTAACTGATTGAAATGCTGTGCCTTTTTATTACCGAAGTGGAAGTAGTTGGTTTGTTTGTATTTCCATCCTATTGAAGAGTATTTTTCTCCATGTTTTCCTATTCAGATAATCCAAAATGAAAAGAGCAGCTAGGAGGGCAGAACTCAAGGTGAAGCCTAAACAGAAAACAGCAAATGAAGGGCCAACATTGGGAAAACTACCGAATTGGTACAGACCTGGTCCATTTCTGTACGATGCAAGAATTGTTATGTTTTCATTTACCTGCCTCCTTGTTGTGGTGTTATTAGCAGGAGAGCTGTTACTGACTGTTTTAGCTGTTGGCTCATTAGTAATTCATGTTATAAACAGTGTTGGTGCAAAGCGTCAAGCTGTCGCTGGTTATCTCTGTGTTTTTATTATAACCGAGTTAGCAGTCATATACTCTGCGGTACCACTTCTTTGGATTTCATTCTACAATGTTCTGTTATTGTTTGCGCTGAATTCATTTGTTGTGTTTACTGGAGGCTGGGTTCTATTACATTTTGATGCCTTTCTTCAGGAGGAGCCGTCGTTAGCTGTGTTTATCGAAACATCACTGTTCACCTTCTACCCGGGATTATGTATAATAATAATGTCATGGATTGTTGTTCAAGCAGTAAGTGTTTCTGCTGTGCCATATTGCCTTATCTTATTTGGATTCATAAGTGCACAACTGTTTCTACCGCAACAACCATCATCATTCCACAAGTCAGAAAGTAGACAGTCAGCACACAGCGTTCTTAACCCGGTGGAAGTAGCCACCGTTTTGACGATTTATAATTTACTGCCCATGCAATCATTCATATTTATTAATTTCTGGAATATTCTAGAACTGACAGTGTTTTTAAAAATGATATTTGTAATGACTTGTCCACTTTTTCTAACAACTCTTATAGATATTCATTATGTTTTTGAACACTTTGGAGTAAGTCTCAAACAGAAGACAAAAGTGCGTTGGCTTACCGGTATAATATGTTTATCAATAATTCATATTGTTGCATATCTTGACAAACTGGTTTCAAGCGGATTATTACCATGGTTACCTGCTGTATTTGTTTTGAATCTACCACTCGGTATTTTCATGAATTGGAGAACTCCAGGACGCAAAATCGCAATCTTGTTACTAGCTTGTGCCTGCTTTGTCCTGTACGTAGCTATGATTTCCTTCATTGTGCCTTTAAACTTAGAAACTGATGGAGTGAGTTCAAAGGTCATATGGTTGCTGTTAGTATGCAATGCAGGACTGTCAGTAGCATGTGTGGTAATGGCTGCTATATCAACCAAAGAGCATTTCTCTGATTTACTATTATGTAGCGTTGCTGTTTTTGTCTTCAGTGAACATCAGCTTTTATCATTAGGCTTATATTCTCTGAATATGTTTGTCATTACAATCCCACTAGGATGGTATATGCTGTCAAAGCTGCAGCACGCTGGTAAAGTCTCTTGGTACGTCACATGGCTATCAATAGGAATGCACTCCACCAAGCTGCCAGTTTTCTTAGAAAACCAGTTAAGACTGGATCATCACTTTGGATCCTCACCATTTTTAGATAAGATATTCATAGCTCTATTTATTCTTTCTGTTAGTAAGTTGTTCTTTTTTGAGTCTCGTCGTTCTGTACCGATTCATCATGCTGTTGGGTACGCGTTCAGTATAACTATCCTGTCACTGCTGGTCATGGATTCACTTCTTCAGCCCATCTTTATCATGGTCAGCCATTCTGATATTAATACTGCAGGTTCTCTCGCTCTGGTGCTGATCACATCTGGTGCTCTACTTTTAAAATTAACACTGAGTCACATGACCAAGTTCCAAGATGCTAGGACATTAAACTTGATATCGATACTACTTGGCTTCTTTATATTCATCCTTCAGCCCTCATCTGAAACATCCTTTTCTAACATGTGCAACATACTTCTGCTGGTGTCTTTCATAGCCTGTCTTGTGTTGTTCCTAACCAGATCGCCACGCTCACGACCTCTATGCCTAGACATTGTGTATTCAATTGTGATTGGTTCACCGATCGCCATTAAAGCCTGTCAACTGCTCATGATTCCCGAGCACATTAGGGTATTAAATATTACGTTGTATATGTTAGCTTGGTCCTTAACTACTTTCATCCTCATTTCTACCACCCTTTGGATTCCTTCCTCAAAATATAATAAGTCGAGTACTGCATTTCTGCCAAGTGCTACAGTATCTATTTCAATAATATTTGTGATAATTTATATTTTGGAATTCAAACAAATTGGAAATGCATACATATATACAATTGGTAGTTTTTATGGCAAATATTCTCAGCCTTGTACCAAATTATTTCTGATTATTTTCCTGAGTATTGCCATAAACCTAAAGAGTTTGCTGGGTAAAATTGCTGCCGATGATCCGTTTGGTGCTATTTACCCAACTTCTCTGCCTGTTGTTATAAATATGGCAACCTTTTTGTCATATGCACTTCTCCTTATAAATTACCCTCCTGATATTTTGCCAGAATTGTGGGCATGTGTTAGTTCAATGGTTTTCCTTCTTATAACCAAAGATCATCTTCTTTTTTCCAAAATCAGTAAGTTTAAAAAACCTGGGATTGTATTCACAACCTGTGTTATTGTTTTATACATTGCTACTTTATATGAAAATAGTATTTGGTGGCAGGGACTTGGATTTTGGTGCATATTCGAATTGATGATCTGTGTTATTGTGTCACCTGTCTTTTTCTCTGTTTCTTGTTTCGTTTTGAACCGCTTCTATGTGATGCCTATTCAACGTGTTGTGTTCCTGAGCCCCATATGTGTGTTTTTGCCACTTTTCGGTACAACTCCTGCTAGTTGGATTTTAGGAATCCTTGGTCTAGTTGCTGGACTTGGTAGCAGTTACTATGCTGCACCCACCTCTGATGTGGACAACTTCAATCTTTAGGTTTGAAAGTAATTGGCACAAACGTGGTTGTAATAGTTAATGTATGTTGGACAAGATTCTTGATATTTAGGCCACATCTGGGCTTGGACTTGCTTTAAGGACAAATTTTGCTTGATGAATAATAAATACTGTACTGTATATTGTTTTTTTTTTTTGTGATTTTGAGATATAAATGTTAAGAATAATGAGGCCTTATAAAATTTAAACAAAATAAAGTTTATTTTATAGTAGATATTATTTCTCCACTTGACTGCTACTATCTTTATTAATAAAATAATGATTATTATTTTTATTTATGTGGGTTGAAAAGATAATGTTTTTCACTATGTGTAAGAATAGTTGTAAATGTTGTAACTTATTAATTATTGTTCAAGGACAGATGGGAACAGTTCATAACAACATGTGTTATTTAGTATTAAGAGCAAAATATGATAATTGTTCTTAATTCTGTTAGGTTATTTATTATTCTGAGTTACTAAAATATTAATGGGATGAACAGGCATGAGTGATTATGTATTATTCAACTTTTGCCTAACATTAGAATTTTCAAAATTACTGATACCGGTAAAAAAAAAGAAAATTGAGTCATTCATTTTGGTCTTACAAACCTGTTCTTTACATTCCATAGGTTGTATACTACTAGGGCAAGACTATTTTATACCTTGTTTCGCGAACTTGTGTTTTTTAAGGATCCTCTGAGAAAAGCAGAAAAAAAAAAAATTGTTTTCTTATTTAGCAAATAATTTTGCCAAAAACATCTAGACATAGGAGAAAATAAAAATAAAATTTTATTGTATAATGTGAACAGTGCAGTGTAATGGGATGGTTAAATGCTTTAAATTTATATAATTAGGAGGGAATATACATCTTATTTTTGTCAATTTCAAGGCAGCGGTGAGCATGATAAAAATAAAGAAAATATTTTTTTTCTGAAATTTGCTTGTGTTGCCGGGTGTGCTAATTGGTTAAAAATAATTATTTTTATTCAAAATCCTTAGCAGGTGGCGTGTTCGCTAAACAAGGTATAACTATCAAAAAAGACGACAGCAGTGGCGTGTTTAATAGGACTGTAGAGGGCACATTAGAAAAAGTTTTCTCCCCCACCCAAGACACCCAATTGAAAATATACTAAGCAAAAAAAAGTTACTCAAGTAGTAACCAACCCCCACCCCTTCTTTCCCACTCTCCAATCTCAGTCCCCTGCCCTTCCCATGTCAAAACTTTTAAGTACGCCACTGCTGTATTGTGTATTTTGATGCTCGACCCATTTTGCACTCAAGACAATGCATTTTTAGTCAAGGGACTATGTGGCTTAAAAATCTCATTCTGATGAAAACATTTTGTATTGCCAAAAGAAAAAGCATGTAATTTGGTCATAATGGCTTTAGTCATGTGGCTTAAAAAATCTTATTCTGATGAAAACATTTTGTATTGTCAAAAGAAAAAGCATGTAATTTGGGCATAGTTTTTAAATAAATGATGAAGATCATTTTGTCTATGGTTTTATTGCTTTCAAGTGTTATTATGGCTATCTTTGAATATGTACTAAATCCTGTTTTTCAAATTTATCCAATTAAAATTAACTATTAAATTTATAATTGTTTTGTCTGCAGGGGCAGATTTAGGCCCCTCCCCCTCTTTTGGAAAGTTAAAAAAAAAATGGGGAAAAAATGAAGAAAGAAAAAAAAACACCCCAGAGGTTATTTACGGGCTTCTACGCTAGTGTTGTATCTCCCCCCCCCCCCCACTTTTGTCATCAGGTTTTGGTGTTAGAGTGAACATGTCTAGTCCATACTCCTACTGTATTGGATTGGATTGGCAAAAATCCAGTGGGCACAGCAACATTGGATTCAATGCCTGATCAAACATCATGTCTGGGAATGGTACATCAACACAGGAAGCATGTCTGGCCTGGCAACTGGTCAGGGGAAACCAATCAAAGTATTGGTTCGAAGCCATCAACAAGAGCTGAAAATGTTAGGATTATATTAGTACTGTAAGCTATTCTTAAATATCAGAAATTCACATATCAGATCGTATATGATTTATTTTCACCATTTTAAATTTACAAAACGAAAATAAAAATATGACTCAGCAGTACGTGGTAGGTTGCTCAAAAGAGGACAATGCCCATCTGTCTGGGAGCTCATTCTAGTACCAACCATATAAACAAACATATTAAGCAGAAATATTAAAATTATTATTTGCAAAGCACTTAAAAAATTATACCGTACTCAGGGTTCGTACGGGTTTTGGAAAGTCATGAAAAGTTATGGAAATTTGTTTAGGTAATTTCCAGGACCTTAAAAGTTATGGAAAAATTATTTGGTTATGGAAAAGTTATGGAAATATGTAGAATGTGACAAATAAAATAAATAGTATGTCAAACATTTGTGTTGAGTTTTATTTTTAAAAAAACAAATCATTTTCTCAGAATTTAGGACGATTTCCGACCGACTGTCAATTTTCTTTGTGCGCCGCGGCACACTGTAGTCTGTACTGATTTTTGTTAATAAACTGTGCTGGTTGACTGAACCTTGGCTTTGCTGCGCATGTGCAATTGTAGTTGGAAAAAAATTAGCAAACAAAAACTAATGCAGGAGTGCTTGGTGTGACGACGAACGAAGCACGTTGTGTAACACGCGGTTGGATGAGGAAAGTCGGCGGCTGATGGTTGAAAAGTATCGAATATGCCTGGAAAGTGTGTTTTTAACGATTTATGGCTTCGGAAAGAACATTACAAAGGTTGGCTTGCAAATTCGGGAACAAACGATCGTCATACAGCACGATGTATGTTATGTTCGAAAACCTTCGATATTGGCAACATGGGAGAAGCCGCTGTTGTTAGCCATATGAAAGGGAAGAAGCATCATAATTTAGTGTCTACTGGAAGCTTAAAACCTGTCTCTTATACACATCTAGATGTGTATAAGAGACAGAAAGTAGAGGAATCTGGGAGTGTAAATAGGTGAATTCTCACAAGTGTTGCTTTGTAGCAACACAGATATTTGTATAATTTTTTTACGATACTTAAATTGACATACATATAAATTCAAAAAATGTCAATACTGGTATGACACCAAATAAGAATGGTGCTCGATAAATATATTCCAGATCTGTGTGTGCGTCTGGATGGCAAATCGTCACAAACTTTTGGTCCTTACTCAAATTAGTATAGGCCTATATGATGAATACTCCAGACAATCTTAAGTTTTGATTTCAATTATTCTAATAACCCTATGGACGAACAACCCAGCAATGAGTGATTGCCAGTGATTTAAAAATAAGTTCATGAGAGGAGCATGATTACACTGCAGAACTAGGTTAAAATTACTTACAATAGATATATGGAATTAATTACAATGGAACCTTTAACACTTTAGACAATACTGGAAAAGCAAATGCGGCGCAACATTCAGTTTTATAAATATTCAGAGTAAATATAGACCTAAATGAAATCACTACGAAGTACTTACCTCAGATAGACTACACCTTTCCGTTAGAAATAATTCGAATGAAGTAGGCCTACTAGTCGCCAGTGCTGGCTTATAAGTGAGGAAATTATGAAATTTAAGTATGAAATTAGGATTTCTACAGGTGGGCAACACTATCCACTCTTAATATTAATGGAGTGTTGGATTTCGGCATATAGATTTGTGACGTATAAAAATATTCATACAAACTTGCAACTCCATAAAAACTTTTTGATACTGTAATCCATCATAACAACAACAACAAACAACAAGTTTCTGTATGTACTGATATGAACGAATAAATTATCTCAGTGTATGAGTATCATAATGAAGATGACAGCATGATGACTAAAGGTTATTCAGTCACAGTCCGCTAAATGAAGCTGTCGAAAAGACAGCGAAAGTTATAACGGTAAGTTAAACCATAGACTCTGAAAAAGTACTAATATTCAACATTTTTGTTAAATATTATATTTCATAAAACAATATAGGCCTTCATAGAGATATAAACCAATACTATTCATGGTTTTGATTGACAGTCTAATTGAAGTCTGGCTTAATTTTGACGGTAATTGTTAATAGATATTCTATAGTTGATGGTTGCATAGGCCTATATTGCATTGTCGAATCATGGTCAAATGAAGCACTTCACCAGTGCTGGCTTATAATTGAAAAAAAACATGATTTCTACAGGTGGGCAACTCAACCTCTATAGATTAATGGGGTGTTGGATTTCGGGTGTTGGATGTCTTTGGAGACAATATCACTTTTGATGTTTCCGCTTTGTTTACCAGCATTTCTGTTCCAAATGCCATAGAAGCAGTCCGAATTACCAAGTTGGCTCAATATATTACTTTCTCAGAACAAACCACACTTAAACCATTACAAATTCTAGAGTTACTCACATGTCTTCTCTTTTGTTGTCATTAGCAAAAATCGTATTGACTTCTTTACAAAATACATTAATAACAACGATGTAAAATATTAAATTTACCAAAGTTGAGGAGGGAGGGAAACTGACTTTTTTGATATTCTAATCCATCAGTGAAAGCATTAAAATCACCATTTAGAAAACCGACTCACACCAACCAATATCTACATTTTGATTCAAATCATATTGAACACAAGATACAGTATTGGTTGTTAGAACTTCACAACGCTCGCTCTTTACTACAAAAATTTAAAGACAAAGAAATTAATTTTAAAGCTCTACATCCTGGTTACAAGAATGTTTGCGAACAACCCGTGTATAACTCGTTTATGTAGGATCCTAGAAGTATTGTTGAACTTCTTAACTTTCTGGCGTACCATACTCATTTATTGATACAATGTTATTTTTCTTTTTAATAGGCCTATATAGGCGAATTCGTCTGTTTAATGAAATGTTATGTTTTCTAAAAATACTTTGTAAATGTAAAACAATAGTAAATATAATGAATGTACCTTTGTTATTGTTAACTACAAATCATTGAATATCTTCTGTAGGTTAAGACGGTAACTGTTAGAGAAATTGTATTACATTGGTATAATTGTTCTATTAATAAATCAATATCGTTGTTTTCTCCTGAAATGAAAAAACAAAACATAACAGTATTCTTGTACTCTTGTAATGATTATGTATGCGTGGTGTGGAATAAATATCCCATAGCTGCCCACTCTAAAGGCTTCACAGGTATGCCATGTTTCTTTTCGTTTTCTCAAAGACCTGTTGATTGACATGATACATTCATAGTTCAGTCCGGAACAATAATTGACTCAAAACTGACTGAAACTTTGGGTGCCGTACGCAGAAAAAGTCTATATGTTAAAATCAAAATGTAATTGCCAAATTCAATGTCTAATTTATAAAAACTAGGTCTAATTTCTCAAAATGTAGGTCTAGTTTCCTAAAACAAAGTTCAAATCTTTCAAAATGTAGTTCAAATTTTCCAAAATGTAGTTTTAAAACGTAGTTCTGACTTGATCAAACGGCCTCTCCAAATTCTGTTCTAAACGTAAATCAAAAACCGCCCAAGCATGACTGGCTTGATTTACATTTTACAACAACTAGACATGCGAACTGTAAATCAAAACTAGCCAACCAAGCATGACGCTGTGTCCAGTGCCGTCAACAAAGCCTATAGGAGGCCAGCCTAAGCCAATAATGTAATTCTGTATAGTCATACGAACAATTGTTTACATTGTAGCAAAGTCAAAATCAACGATTTCATTTTTTTTGTCATTGGGGGGGGGGCAGGGTGCTTAAGACCCCATCGGTCTGGTCAAGCCCCCCCCCCCATTGGCCAAAGCTCATTGGGCAGTCTGACCAAAAAAAAAAAAAAGTAGGCCTAGTTTTCCCATCCCAGCCATAC